AAGTATATAGGTAAAGGTATGTTATTTCTTTAAAATAAAAGTATTTTTCTATATTTAAATATTTTTTTTAATCTATAATTTTTTATATTCGGCGTATACCGCGCACCCGTACATTCCAATGTGTTTTTTTTTGTATTAAAAGTGCGCGTTATACGCCGGAATATACGGTAATGCATGGTACCTTATAGGGAGAGCAACATACTCAGATTTAGCAGAGCGTCATATGTACAAAATTCCTCACGTGTTTGTGAGAAGCAAAGTGACAGTCAAAAGCAGTGGTTACCAACTGTTGACCCGCAAAGCCTGTTTTTTGTCACCCTCGACCAAAATATATTTGTTGTCATCTTTTTTGCTGACAATTTTCGTAAAAAATCTGCATGAGTTTTAAATACTTTTAAGTTTTATATCTTAACAATTTGATATCTGTTGCACATTAATTGTTTAATACATAGGTGCACATTAAAGTTATTGTAGCCAGAATTTTTTAATGTACAATTAAATATTTTTAAAAATCTACTTCTTATTTTAATTTGTAATTCAATACTTTTGTTTTGTACAACTTGATAAAAATCTGGCAGTAATATTTAATGTTCTTTCAAACATAAAAGAGTCCTATGTAAGATTTTGATAAAGTTGCGGCCCTCCATTTGACTGGTGTTGTTAATTGCGGTCCCGGCCCAATGTCCGATTGGAAAGCCCCGATCAAGAGGTAAGTAACCTGAAACAGTTGTTGTTGGTTAGGTTTGCTGCCTCTTGCTAATCACCATTTTATTCTTTTGTTCTATCTAAAAATGCGCTATCAGATATTATCAACATGGATGATGTAACTGAAGTCTGAAAGAAATATCTAAATAAGTAGTACTGCACTGTTTAAATAAAGTGTAGAAATGTAGCAACAGACTAACCATAAATTAAAAGAGAAAATTTATCTTCTGCCCAACCCACATCAGTGGATAGAGGGATAGGTGGATGTAAACTCATCTTTTAAAGAACAGCTTCTGCTGGTGCACCCCTAAATGTTGTNACTTCACGCAATCGTGAGAGGATTTTAATTTTTTGTAGGATTGAAGCACCTGTTTTGTCTCTCACCTTCCTCCAATGCGTTAAGTATTGTATGGAGCTGTAAGAAATATCTAAATAAATAGTACTTCTGCTGGTGCACCCCTAAATGTTGTTTCTTCCTTTATACATAGTGACTGACCCAACCCTTGGGGTACCAGTTTACATTATATGTGTATAGAAGCTAGATTTCTTTCCCCATGTACCATCAGGAGATGTGCTATGAGATTATCAAAAAAAAAAAAAGATAAACAAGGAAACCTAACTTAAACAGAATAGTTGAGGGTGAAGTCAGTTTATTAACATGATTTGATCCACACTTCAAAAACCAATTCTATAGCATTAGGGGTACCATTTTTCTTGTAGCATTTAAAAACACATAATTATGTAGGTTGAGCAGTGTTGCTGGAAACCTAAAACGGTGAAAAACTAAACTTTTGAGATAATTTCTGAGACAGTGTAAAAGTTCTATTGTGATCAAAAAGATGTATGTAAATTTTTTGCATTCATAAAAAAAAATTCAGGGAGTATTGTGGAGGTTTTTTTTTTTAATGAAAGGAAAAAAACGGTTTTATTAGTTTTAAGAAAATATTTAAATCAAACACGTTAGCTCTTTCCTTTCAAAAAAGAGTTTAAATATTTTATTTAATACCGAAAATTTAATTTTAGTGATTAGAAATGCATATTTGTTATATATAGGTAAAATTTTATCCAGTAATTTCCTAGTAACGAAGATTCAGATGCCTGTTACTTTTAAATCAACCTGCATCTTAACTGTTTCTTGATGAAATTTTTCTTAATGAGTTATTTTTATAAATTAAAATGTTTCTTATTCTAGAATGGGATCTCATTCCTTTTTGTGCTACTTTCTTCCTATCATTCGTCTTGGGACTGGAGGTAAAATCTGTTTTAAATTTTTCTCTAATTTATAAATCTTAATTTTCAGTTAAGGACTATTTTCAGACTATTTGCATTTATGTACAACAAATATATTTTTTCTCTGTGTTATTCAATGAAATACAAATTCTTTACAGGTTAATAACTCGAAATTCGTTGATGCAGAAGACATAAATAATGTGAAACAAAATAGCTTTAGTTTTAAATGAGTAGAAATCAACTGACAGAAATCAATTGATTTCTCCCTGTTGACCTCCTGCCTCTATTTATTGTATCAACTGTAATAAAAAAGTTTCTGTAGTTAGTAACCAAGTTTCACATTTTAAAGTGAGAATTAAAATAATAAAACTTATTTTTTTCTTAATAAACTACTAAATGAAATCAGTGATTAAATCTATCAAGCTCTCATCTAATTAAATTTCTGGGGATGTATCACCATAATAAAGAATTTTCCTAATGAATGTTTAAAGAAAAAAAAAGAGTTCATTTGGTTGGTAACTAGTATCAACAGATAGAATTCCTGTTTTTAGATTATTAATACAGTATATTTCCGAATATAAGCCCATCAATGTTTGGAAATTCATTGAAAATTTAAAACTCGTATATAAACTGACATAAAAAAATTAAGGCATGCTTTGCTTGGAAAGAAGCTTGTACCTTCCAAATTCTTAATAAGAAGTTAAAAAAATAATAGTATTTCTTTCAAATTGTCCTTTTTTGTTTCTTTTTCAGTTTTTATTTTTTTTATTTAAGCATTCTGTTTTCAATTATTATTTTATGTATTTTTGTGTTTTGTATATATGTTTCATAATATTTACTGATTATCGCTAGTGCTTGACAATAAGAGAAGTTTATTTTGTGGCGATGTCTTTATGAAATTTTCAAGTTAAGGGATGCAATTATAAGCAGACTTAAGCTTTTGAAAATTGTCTAAATTCTCGGCTTATGTTTGGAAATATACGGTTAATAGAAAATAGATTGTGCCACTTTTGCTATGAAATAAGTTGGAAATGTTCATTGCTAACAAATCTATTAACGGAAAAACTATTTCTGATGAAACATTGCTTGCTACGAAGATTGTTAAAGTGGAGTTGGAAAATTTGTTAAGCAACAAATGTACTGTACTGTACTGTAATTTCTTGTGTATAATCAGCAGATTATCTGTTAAAAACATGAGTCCTGTAACTGTGAATAATCTGTCAAACTGTTCATGTAAATAATCTGCCAAAGTTTACTGTGAATAATCTGCCAAAATTATTTCTGTACTATCAGACATCACAAATTTTCTATCCACATTCAGCAGTCATAAAAATGTAAGGGACCAACCAGTCTCGCAGAAAAGAACAAATCATTGTATAATCCCCGAATTATACAATGAATTGTGAATTTATCCATTCTGAAATTTCTCAGTGTGAAGCTGAATGTTTTGGTTACAGATTATACATTACTGCAGATAATACACAGGAAATTATAGTTATAATGTAATAATAAATAAATCATTTTTCAATAACAAATAATGTTTTTATTTATTTATTTTTTTTAGTATGGTATACTTATTGGCATTGCTTTTTCAATGTGCTTACTTTTGCTTCAAGAAGCCAAACCAAAGATTTTAATACAGGAGAGAATGGTAAGGGTACTTTTACAAAATGATATTATTTTTTAGATTTTTTTTAAACTACAATTAGTCATAATTTTATCTCTATTTAGAAGTGATATTAGTGAAAGAATACACAATATTGGAAATATGTTTCTTATAGACAAAATTTCAGATTTTGTTATAAAGATTATTAGATTTTCATTGATAAAATTATTGATTTTATGAATTTAGCATGTTCACACTCTGCTTTATTAATTAATTTAATTTATTAATTAGTATAATTTTAATCTTGCCTTATTAGGAATTTTTCAGAAATTTTTATTATATTATGTTAACTTTTTCTAGACTGAACTTGGTCGTTATTATTTATATGTGAAACCAGACAGAACTATTTTGTTTCCATCTGCTGAAACACTGCAAACAAAAATAATTAAATCTATTCCAGGTAAATATTTTAGTTCAAATACATGTAAGAAATAATTTCTGTGATATGCTTTCTTATATTTTAGCTATTCAAACTACTAACATAAGTTTGCGTTTTTACTGCATAAGGTTAATTGTCTAATGCTTTTTGTTTAAACACACTTTTCACATGTCTTAGTATTTAACACACAAACTTGTTTTTCAACATTCAGTCATAGTAATTGTCTTAAAACCAATAGTTCCACGTGTTGTAGTAGTGATTGTTCCACGTGTTGTGGATGCGTTACTCATTGTTTGGAAGCAAGACTGATTTTTTCCTTTAGATTAGATTTATGGGAAACTGGAACAATCGAGACTCTACTGTACTCCACTAAATCAATATCAACCTCTGTACTGATATGCTACATGTTTTCTATGTCCTCACTGATGTAAAACTACCTTTTCTAAAACCATTATAAATACAGTCCTTTTAAACTTTTTTCCAGGTGGACACAGGGCATTGGTATTTCGGGGAAGTAGTATTTCTGCTGCTAAATACTGGGATTTTTTGTTACATTATTGATATAGGAAGTGAACGGAAAGAAATAGTTATTCACGAGTGACTTTAAATCTGAGTTCTACTGTACAATGATAATAAATTAATAATGTTGTAGAGAATTTTTGGAAAAAAAAATAAACAAAAACTAAGCAAAAATTCAGTACGAAAAACGTTACGATTTTGTTGAAAAAATGCAGTCTCAATTTTTAACTTTAGTTTATTTTATCAAAAAAAAAATTTATCCTGTCATTTTATTACAAGTTGAATAATCATTAAATGTCATTTTGCTGCAAGTCTGGTTTTATTTTTTTAGACAAAGCAGACTCTAGCTCTTCTTATTTTGTACTCATTGATGGTGAAAATATCACTACAGCCGATTATACTATGGTCATGGTATGTAATTTTAAGGGGGGATATATATGGGATTATTATATCACTTGAATATAAATCATTTGTTTAAACTTTCTTTCAGGTCATGAAGACATTGTTCAGTGATTTTAAAGCTGTGAATATAAATATAATATTTATGCATTTTAAGGTGAGTTTATAAAATTATTATCTTTACAATATTTAATAACTTGAAAGCTTTCAACACACTTTTTCATTTGCTTACGATTTTTAATAACATTGTATTTTATTGTTTGTTTTTTTTAAGAATCAGAAATATTATACTTTTTTACAAGCTTTTATAAAATATTCAAACTAAATATTTAATGATTCAAAAAACTATACAGAGTGATATAATTGGTACTCACTCATTTCAATCACTATTATTGTTACCCATGTTTATTTGCCCCTATTGCTTATTTATATATGTTACAAGCATTGCTTTAAATCTTGCATTTTGTAAAATAGAAATGTTGTTGGAAACTGACCAACAAAATCTGCAATGATTTACATATTGTCTTGGCATAGCTCTAACCACAATAGAAAAGGCTATTCACCCCAAGGATGAATTAAGAAATTTTATATATAGTGGCACACTCCTTTTACAGTGAGTGAGAAGTCTGACTCGCTGCCAACTGTGGGCTTTTTCACAAGACTGAGAGGTCATGTGACCTTGAGCAAAGTCGTCATCCCAGTGTAGTTTGGACCTTGTTAACCAATTAACGATTTTTTGTTGAATTGAGACAAACTGTAAAACAAAGCAATGTGACGTCATGCTTCCCTCTGTGGAAGAGTGAAATAATTATGTTGCGTGTTTGAGCGTCCGTAGTCACCAATGTAGAGGAGAGCGTGTGAGAGAGATGTTTGTTGGCTGCCAGCAAGATTCGAATCAAGGACCTCTAATCACAGTAGAAAAAAGTGTACATTACAGTCCAGGGTGAATTAGGAAGTTTTAGATATAGTGGCCGGGACACCATAACCTTTTCACATTTAATGAAATGAGTTTTAGCAACTCATTTCTGAAAATATTTACTATTAGCAAAGAAATTAGGGAGTTTTTATGCTATAAACTGAATACTTATTTCTATATTTTAATAATTTACTCTGTTTTTGTTTATTGGTTCAATTTAAAATAAATGTGATAATTCTAAAGTGTATTAATGTAATGTTTTGTTAACAGCCTGAAGTTCAAGAGGCCATAGTAGGTAGTGGATTGAGTGATTTTAAACATTTTTCTTCTAAACTAGAAGCAGAAAATTATATTCAGAGTAAGCATCTTTTTTTTTTTTAATATTTTAAGGTTGCTTTAATTGTGGTTTTAACTAATATGAAAGATAGTTTTTTGTTTAAATAAAAATTTAGAAACCAAAAACAAGCAAATCAAAATTTTAAAGATATGTATGTTAGATAAGATAGATAAAGATATGTTTGTTAAAATTTCGTTTTGCTTGTTTTTATTTTCTAACTATTTATTTAAATTGTTTACATGACACAAATTTGGTTTTAGTGCTTTTTCATTTTGACTTATTATTTTAAAGTTTTTATCGTTAAATTTGTCTAAATCAATTTCATACTTTGATTAGATAGTTTTTAATGTGACATGCTTTCAGGGCCGGATTAAGCGGCCCTAGGCCATTCAAATTTTGGGGGACCTTAGATTAAATTATGTAATACATTATGTAAAAAAAATTATCTTATTTTATTAATATATCTTCCAAATTGATTTTTTTTTTAAATCGTTGTTTTTCTTAATTTTTTTTCAAAAATTTTTTTTTATTTTTTTTTTTAAAAATTACATTTTTTTTAAGGGGGCCCCTAATTATTGAGAGCCCCAGGCCTAGTCTGCCCTAATGGGTAATCCAGCCCTGCATGCTTTCCAATCAGTTCTTCAAATCAGTATTTCATTTTTGTGATATTGTGTAACCAACAGATTTTGTATTACCCAGTATACTTTATTAGTAAATTATTTGTCCATTTTTTTTCATGCTGTTTATAATAAATTTTTCAAATATTTTATATGTTTTTGCTTTTCTGCATAACTAACTGATTTTCAATTAGTGTTTTAACGTAGAAACACTACTTAGCAGGAAAACTTCTCTACAAATTACTCTCTTGTAAGTAGCTTGTCAAACAAAAACTAAAATAAATTAGATATTTATTTTCTAGTTCTGTAATTATTACTTCATTGTTCTCTCTCTCAGCGCAATGTTGGAAATATATACATTACACCTTAATTAACCATGCATATTCAATGCTTAATTATGCTTCATTCAGGGATGAGATTCTTCCGCGGATTCGCGGATTTCCGCTTTTTTTTTTTCTTCAGATTTTTCCATTTTTCCCGCTAATTTCTGCTGAAATTTTTTTTTTTTGCACAAGTTAAAATATTTTATTTTATGAAGAATTAAATTTTCCACGGAGCGAAATTATTGAAGTCTTTATTCCTCCCTCTGAAGTTTCTCTAAAAATCATTTCCTTGGGATGAAACTGGTTGACCTTTATACAGGGATGAGATTTTTTTTGTCTCTCGAATTTCAACCATTTTAAAAGTTCTCTAAAAGTTTCGTTTTTTTTTTCATAAATATCCCGCTTTTTTTTTAAATTCAGTTTTTTTAAAATTCAGAAGTAAAATAATTATATTTATGTACGATTTTCAAAGATAAACAGAAAATTCAAACTACGTCCTAGCTGCTAACCCTTCTGCATTTTTACTTATCTTAGCTATTTTCTCCGATTTCACGCACAGAAAATAAGATTTTCCGTATTTTTTATCCGTCGGCGGGATAGCTCGTATTTTCGTAATTTAGACGTCGCAACTTCTTGTATTCTGGTGTGAAAACAAACAAAAAAAATAGAGGTGGATTTGCGGTGAATATATTTATTTACTCATTCAATTAATCTTGTAAATTTTTATTTATTATGTCTAAACAAAAGCAATACAAACAAGCCTTTTAGAAATCCCAAAACCAGACTCTGAAAATAACTCGATTTTTATTCACGCGATTTTAATATCAATCATCGATTTTCGTATTTACCTGATTTAAAAGTTGCGCATTGCGATTCTTATTCAGGCGATTTAAATATTGTACATTATGATTCTTATTTACGAGATTTAAAAATCCAATATCGTGTTTTGTATTTATGCATTTTTAAAATCGCGAATTTAATATCAAACATCGATTTTCGTATTTACCTGATGTAAAAGTTGAACGTTGCGATTCTTATTCAAGCGATTTAAATATTGTACATTGCGATTCTTATTTACGAGATTTAAAAACCAATATCGCGATTTGTATTTACAAGTTTTTAAAACCCTATGTAGCAATTCGTATTCACGCGAGCTTAAAATCCAATGCCGTGATTCGTTTTTGCGGTTGTAATATCGAGCGATTTAAAAATTATACATCGTGATCTAAAAATTACGCATCATGATTTGTATTTTCGCATTTTTTAAATTTGATGTAGAGTTTCAAATTCACGTGATTTAAAAGCCTCATATCGGGATTTATAATCACATGTTTTACAAGTTTAAAAATCACACTTTTTTATCAAATTTTTGTTTATATATATATATATATATATATTCCTTGGATTTCCTCTCTTTTACTTTCTGACTACTCTCATCCCTGTTCATTTTTTGTGACATGTTATACATTTGTTATGCATATAGAGTTACTGTGAAATATTTCTAATAGACTAATTGAATAAACAGGTTTATTGTAGCTAAATTAGAGTTACAATTCATCTGCTACTCATTATTTTTTCAACAAAAACATTGTACATGTTGTCCTATCTTGTTAATCCTAATCATCCTAGTAATATTCATTTATTAAAAAATAGTCCTGTTGGTTTACATAGTTATTTATTGAGATGTGCATGCATTTCATTTTTTTGCCTAATAAATTTCACCAAAAACAAATATTTGTACCAACAACGCTTTATATATTATTTACTACACTTCCTAAGGTAAATTCCATTACACAAGTCTAAAAAGGCACACATCTGTGTTGTAGTTTTGCTATGATGTTTGTATTTATTTGGTTTTTATGTATTGTTGTAATTTTTAACTTTTATTATCATTCTTATTTTGCTATTAGTTTTTAATTTATACTACACCTAAATGCTGTTAAGCTGTAGTTGAAATGTTGCCAATCTTCATTTCAGATCAGTCAGTGTCTCCAATATCTCCCCCAGCGTACAACAGTAACTTTCCAAGGCACAGTCTACGTAGTGACGATGTTTGTTTTGATGTCTCCTGAAACTATCTAATCATAAAACCTTAAAATATCATTTTCATCTTCATAAAGAGCATGAACAAAACATGATAGTGCCTTAAACATTGCATATTTTGTATTATTCCTGTTAACTTCACGGTTATAGAAACTTACCGGTGCATTTACTCATTGTTTTTAAAGTTTTCACTGTTGTTGAGACTGGTTCTTTGCCAGAGAGCATGTTTTGAGAGTTTTAGAATGTTTTAATAATGTGTTGTAAAGAATGGGAAGCTTTGTGTAAATGAATAGTAAAATTTTTAGTTGTATTCAAGCAAGGTATTTAGTTGAATTCAGAAGGAAATGTTTTGAAGTAAATATTGGGCATTACTGCAAGATGCAGCTATTAATTTTAAGGACTGATCTGAAAATATGTGAATTACGTACTTGTTTAATATGTTTCCAAGTAGCAATAATACACTTCTATTAGCAATAATACACTTCTATTAGCAATAATACACTTCTGTTAGTAATAATAGTGTTTTATTAGCAATAATACACTTCTGCAATCGGATGTAAAAATTTTACAATCAACTTTTAAAATCTTCAATGATTTCAATTCTGTCAATCTTAAATATCTTTGATGTTCTTAAACCTTGTTCTTTTAATTGTCCTTTGTTTCTAACTACCTCTAGAACAAAGAAATTTGTTGAAAGAACAAGGTTTAAGAGTTTAGAGTTATTAAGAAAATTTTGACGATTAAAAAGCATTCCAAACAAAGACTTTAAAAGGTGGTTCTGAACTTTTAATTTTATTTTATCCACAACCGAAACCAAGAAATTTGTTAAAGGAACGAGGTTTAAGGAAGTGAAATTCGTTAAGAAAACGATTGAAAAGCATTCCAAACAAAAACTTCAAAAGTTGGTTCTGTAACTTTTAATCTTGTTTTATCTGCAATCCAAGAAATATGTTAAAAGAACAGGATTTAAAAATATGGAATTCAATTAAAAAAATGCTGACAATTAAAAAACATTCTAAACAACGATTTTAAAAGTTGGTTCTGTAACTTTTAATCTTGTTTTATCCACAATCCAAGAAATATGTTAAAGGAATAGGATTTAAAAGTATGGAATTCAATTAAAAAAATCCTGACGGTTAAAAAGCAGTCCAAACAAAGACTTTAAAAGTTGGTTCTGTAACTTTTATGTCCAAAAAAGGATGAAATCGCTTTGAAACATATTCAATGGAAAAGTAATTGATATAATATTTTCAGAAGTTATTAAAATAAGTCTAGGAAATTATAGAAAATATTTATTCATGCAAAGAATGTGATGAGAAGAATCCCCTCCAAAAATTAAGTCATTTCAATCTGCAATTGCTTATCAACAAAATGTATTGTTAATCCTTATCTCGAACACTCTCTCTATGTTGCTAAATTGTTGAGTTAAAAAATTAATTTAATATTAATGTCTGTTAATTTTTTTTCTCCAAAAAATGTGGCAAATGATTAGAAATTTAAAAAATATTAAAAATATTTTTTAATGTTGCGCTGCACTAAAAAAATATATAGACCACGGCGTTACTTGGTTATTTATATAAAAGTTAAAACTTAATTTTAGATATCCGCAACTCCAGAATACCAGTGTATCCTTCAAAACTCTATAATTTCTGAAGAATATAATATTTTATTTTAATTATAAATTATTTATAAATTTTGTTATTTTATGCTTAATGTTAGTGTTAATAAAGTGTTTACTGATTTGTTATTTTTCAGTAGTTGATCTTTTTAATTGAGCTGACAAAATATTATTTAAATTATAGTTCTATTAGAATGAAAAGAAAGGAAAATGTTCGCATATTTTGAATGAAATCAAAGTTTTTGGTATACATTACTGCAGGTTCCCGATTTTTTTTCAGCTACGGAACCCTAAACGAACAAACTTCTTTTGGCGGAATTCTGACTTATAAATATAGTTCATTAACATGTGTGAATATGCTAACCAAACGAAGAAAAAAAGCTACAAATTAATTCTGAAATATTTAATGTGATATTTGAAATTTTTTCATAGCTTTATCAATAACAGTTTTAAAATTAGGTTTTATGTTGCACAGTTGAATTCAAAAGCGAAACGGTATTTATTCTGGTAGTTTCTGACTTATGGATAAATCAAATTGAATAAAATAAGCTGAATTATGGTTTTTGAAAAAGAACTGTTATAAACTGTGAGAATAGTTAATATAGAAAAATAATTCTTTATTCTTGAATTTGGATGTTTTATTTTGAGTTTTAAATTTACGTGAGAAATACTGATGCAATCATTTGTAAATTAATATTCTTTTGGTAATTTATTCAATATTTTGTTACTGGGAAAAAATATTTATTTTTTAAAATTTGCCATTTCTTTTTTTATTGGCCTTTTACTTAAGTAATTTCATAAAATTAACGTAAATATTAAATAAGGTTGGATAGAAATTTATTACAAGTTTAAAAAATCAGTGCTTTTTAAAAAAAAAAAAAAAAAAAAAATCTTAACTCATGGAACCCCTATGACTTTTCGGCCTACCGTAAGGTTCACATTTTGGGAATTACTGCATTCATTTCTTGAAATTATACTGTTAAAACACATACTGTTAGAAGATCTGATTAATATGGGCATTGATTCTATAATTTTATTTTTATATTTAAAAACATTAACATTACTTGTTACATTTTAAGTAAATAATAAATTGTTGTTAAAAATTTTCACATAATTGTTTTAATTATTCTTTGCAAGATCTTAGAGTTAAAACAGATTTAAGTTAAGAGCATGTCATGTAACAAACTTTCTTTCATTAATTCTAGTTATGTGGGTGAAAAAATATGTGGCATTAAAACTTGTCAGAAAATTTTGAATTGATTTTGATGCATTTTTTTTTTATTTAATAGACTCTGTTTCAAATATAACCTGATTACTAAATTACTTCTAAACTGAATAAGAATATTTGATTTATTCTTTTGAAATAATTTCAGCTCATTACAAAAATTTTCATTTGTTCAAATATAAATAATTGCATTTGAAGTCACAATTTCATATATTTAAACACTATGTATTTTGATTAATGCGATGTATGACAGTGACATGAATATGACTAATGTTATGATAAATATAGTAACATATTCTTTCTTTAAAAATTTTTATTTTGTAGATAAATTTTTGAATTGAAATGTTTTGTTTTTCATTCATTATGTAGTGAAATCAAAGAGTCTAATGAAACAGATAAAATTTGCTATTATTGTTTTTTATTAAAAATAATAAGTTTTAAACATCATGACCCTAACCTGCATTGAATTTAAAACTAATTAACTGAAACTTGTGTCTTTAAAAATCCTGAAACTTCAGAAAGGAAATTGAAATTTTCTTTTTTGAGAGTATTTTTATTACTAATTTTTAAAGTATTTAAATTTTTGTAACCTTATTTTTCACTACTAAAATAAATACTGATTTAAGATCTTATTATCTTAGTTAACATATATTAATATATATTAGTTTAACGAACTCAAAATTTATGAAATCTATCTTTTTTTGGTAATTTGTACTCTTGAGCATGTCCTTCTGTTCAATCGACAACTTTTGAAATGAATAAATAAATAAAGCATCTAAGTCAACTTCATTAAACCACAGAAATGTTTTCTGTCTTTAAAGTATGATTCTTTTTTGTTTAGACTAATAAGATGTCATAAGAATAACAAAAAACTAATTTATAATTTAATTTTAGTATTATATTTTAATTAATAATACACAGTTGACACTAGATATAATATAAATTCTAATCCAGGGCAAAACAGACTTTATAACGTGAGGTCTTATACCATCAATGCAAAAAATACCATAAATATTAACTCACATCCAAGAAATTACGTGGCTAATTTTAACAAAGCTATGCTTTACTTATACAACAATTTGGTAACGGATCACCGGACTGTGTAGGGGTCAAGAAACTAGCCTTGCATCAGAAAGGTTCTGGGTTCGAATCCCGGGCAAGGCATGGATGTTCTTTCATTCTCTGTACTATCTGTCCATACAGTGGGAGCAACGCTGTCCCACCCAATAGGGTGCCCCTGAAAGAGTGACCAACAAATCTGCCCTGTTAATGCCTGAATTGACGAAATGTGAACACAGACGGGCAGTGGAACGGAAATTTAAAAAAATTCCGTAACTAATAGAAAAATTTGTAATGACGCAACTTTATTTTCGATGTTAATATACACATAAAAGTACCCTTTAAAATTATACTTTTTAGGCGATGAATGCATTGAAAACAATAAGCTTGTTCGACACTGCCATACGTCAAGATAAGTTCGAAGACCATATGTTTTATTTTTAAAATAAACCACACAAGGGAACCAACATCTTAACTATCAAACAAGATAAGTATGGTCGATAAATTTATTGAACCCTTTGAAAAGAAAGTTACATAGTTAACCCATTGTGTGGTTAGGGTACTTCCTGTCGATTTCCCAATGACTATGCAACATTTTCTTTCATTTATCCAAGTCTATCTTTCACTAACTTTTTTACCCTAAATTAAGCCCAAATAGAACAAGAGTCTAGGTAGTCATGCCATTCTTCTTTCATTTAAAGAGAATTTAAGATGTTTTACATTTGTCTTGTGGAAATATTAAAGGGAATAATGGTTTAAATAATTTCTTTGGAACTTTTTCTAAACAAAATTACTTTTTAGTTGTTATATTGAATGAACAATTTAGTGCGGGCAGTTTAATGGACATAGAAATGTCATTGCCCTTGGAATACCAACTGCAGGCTTCCTGGTGGTTCAAAATAAAAATCAGGACAGTAGTTTACAAAAAGATCAGGACATTTCATGGTACAATGCATACATTTTAGACGATTTTTTTAAGAAGAAATAAAGAACTAGAAAACATTGTAATCAACTATTTTGAAAATTTCGTTTTGTACAGTATATTTCTTTAATTGTCCACAACCAGAAAAAAAAATAAGCAAAACTCAACGTTTCCAACTAAAATCGGTCCGATTTTGCGCATACTTGAATTCTTGCAGAAATCTTGGAACCTGAATATCCTCATGACTTTGGAAATAATTCCTCAATATAAAAAAAATTAAAAGAAAATTGATAATAATAGATATTTTAGTGCAACAATAAATCACTTGTCGAATGTAAGAGAATATTGAATATAAAATCAAACAAATGATTAAAAAAAATCATCATAATCTGGAAACAAAGATAGTCAAAATAAAAAAAACTAAGGAATTAAACCATTATTTAAAGTAAATGAACATTTAAAAGTACTTCCGATTTTGCATTAGATGAAATGTTTTAAAAATTAGAAACAATGTTTTCACTGTTATTTGATGGGCAAGAAAAAAAAATTTGCTTCTCAAAAATGTTAAAATAAATTGTCAATTCAAAAATGTTAAATGTTTAACACCATTTTTAACTAACAATTGGTTGTATTAAAAAAATGATCAGCAAAAATGCTGAGTTTCTTTTTCATAAGATTAACAACTTGGATAACTGGATTTTGCAATTTTAAAAATTTAATTAGCATTATTAATTAAAATAAAAAAAAATTTATCGAAAATCCTAATCTTTCGATTTTTATAATCTACAATTTAATAATTCCCACTTGTATAGGTAGAAATTGGAATGTTCACAATACACATAAAAATCAGGACAAAAAAAACTAAAAATCAGGAGTGAATCATTTTACAGGCACCTCGAATTCCAATTGTAAAAAATCGAAAAAAATAAACAAAATCGAATGAGAGGTAAAACTGTAAACTTTAATAATTTATTACCTAAATAATGTGATTTAGCGTTTATTTTTTCATTATAGATATATAAAGTTGAACGCTGGAAGAAATTAAAAGGAGTAAAAGAAAAAAATAGCTGAAATTATAAAAGAAAGGCAAAACATATGCTTAACCACACTGAGAAAAGGGCATAAAATATGCATTTTGCTTTTGATGATAAAAAGTTAAAATTCTGAAAATTAATTTATTCAGTGAAATGTATGTTTTGATGATGGATAATTAACAGATTAATAACTTGACTTTTAACCAATATATTTAACTTGAAGTTTAAATCCCAGAATATTTATAAATTTTTGAATTTTTTTAACTTTTGTGTTACAATTTTCTTTCCTGAAAAATTTTATAAGTTCTGAATTTCATGATTCAAAACATATCACTAAATTTATACTATTGAGACATGAAGGTTAATGCAGCTTATTTGATCTATGATAACAAAATATATTTAATTTCTGATCAATATTTCTAATTGATTCCAGGTGTGTATTTTAATCTGTTTGATAAAAAAATAGACTAATCACACAATATGATTGAGTTTCAAATACTATTTTATTTCAAGTTATTAATTGCTAGAACTACTGAATTCCTTAAAAACTAATCTTAAGATCTAGAAAAATATTACATTTATTAAACAAATATTTTCATGCACAGTTACTTTTAAATATAATACCACACTCAAAATAATATAGTTGCGAGTAGAAATGCAATTTTACCTATTCACGATAAAATAGCCCTGTAGAGCAAAAGAATGCTTTTAATAAGTAAATTTCATAAATATAAATACAATTTTTTTTAAAAATAAAATAAGTTATTACTTTAAATAATATAAAACTCTAATATACAATATCACAATTTTGAAGATTATTAGTTGTAGTTATTTTATCATAAAAAAGAAAAGTGAGTAGAAAAGAAAAATAATAAAGCTCTTGCTGAGAACATATAAAACGCTTAAACTGAATATCATATTGACCTTTATACATGACGGAAAAATTCTTATTAAGATAATGTTGATTAAATTCCAAACATAAAATAACTTAATACAAGTGCTATGATAATTTTTATGTAGTATACAAATAACCTTGATTTTAGATATTTTTATCTAAATCAAGATTGTAACCATTACAAACAAAAGACAATTTGCAAATATCAATTGATACATATTGGAACAAATAACTTAATTACATCCTAATCATAAAATATGTTGTGATAATTTATTATTTTAAACAATTTTATGAGTTTTACAATACTAATATATCTGTGTTAATATGTAAAAAATTTTAAAAAATTATACTTGTAAATATATAGACTTCGAGAATAGTGATTTTTTAAAATTAAATTATATAAATATATATATGTACATAAGAAAATGGTGCTGGTTTAAAGCACAAGGACAGTGATCCATAGGACTATTAAAAAAGGGGATCTGATCTTCATATTCAAGTTGCAGTCAGTAAATTATTTAGACACAATTAAATAAAAAATACTGTACAATTTTAAAAATTGAGGTATAGTAAGGCTGAAAAGCTTACATAATTTATTTTTATAATTACTTTTTTTTATAGTTATTTATTTTTAACCACAATCATTCTTGGAACTATGAAAAAATATATTTTGTCTTGAATTTACATATTTTTTTGAAAACTCAACCTCTTTTTTATAAAAACAAAATCATTTAAATAAATAATTAAACTAAATATTAAGTTTTACAATACAGTTAGCTTCCTAAAGTCAAATTAATCTAAACTTCTAAAAACATTCCGTATTAAATATAATCAGCAAATTATTTCAGCAATTATTAAATCAATTGGCTGTACATAAAATTATAATATACAAAATCATATACAGGGTTATTCATAATTCCCTCCGGGGTTTCGAAGTGTTATAGTAAAAAAAATGAAGGCGAATATGGCAAAAAAGAACATATGATATTATTCCGAAAGTATTCAAGTTTTAATTTAAGCAGATGCCGGTAGATGGCAATAACATGTACCACTGACGCCAGTTGTAGTAAAGAAAAATGTCGTTTACATGCGGACGGAATTATGAATAACCCTGTATAATTATACATTACATAATTGTACATTATATATAATTATACATAAACATATATTTTCTATAATTTTTTAAACAGCAACTGATACTTTTGATATTGTAGTACCCAACTAAACCTTAACCGAAAACAATTTGAAATAAATGCACCATGTTTCTATGATTTACAGCACCACTAATAAAATATTGTGTATTATAATATCCTTTTATCAAAACTAAAGACAGATTATCTCATTCTTAAAATAGCCAAATAAGCATTAACAGCACAATACAACAGCAGTAATTGTTGATAAATGCATTAATATGCAGTGCAGCTAAATGCTTAATATCTAACTCTAAGCTAAGCTCCAGTGAATAGATAAAAAATAGTGCTCTTGAAATAACAGCCATTTGCAAACTTCTGTAACAAAACTATCCCTAATAAATCTAAAATATACTTAATCACTCTGTAAGCTTCAACCAAAGGCAGACTAACCGTAACATCGATTGCACTCTTGTATTGTAAACTGGAAGGACCTGAAGTAGTGCCATCGAGAATATGCGTTGATATCTTATAAACTGCCTCATAAATATAAAGACAGTATATAAGATATCAACACATATAAGTATCTAACAACAAGTTGATATCTTATACACTAGACAGTATATTATAAGATATCAACACATATAAGTCTCTAACAAAAAGTTGATATCTTATAAACTGTCTTATAAGTTATTGTGTAACCAGCTGTTTTCCTTCAATTGAGAAACTTTAAAAAATCTAAGAAAACTACTAATTTTTATCAGTTTTAGGACTATTTTGTGCATTTTTCCAAGACATTTTGGTGTTCTTGTTTAGCCTTGGTAATATGTTTTAAGGATTTTGACTTATTTGTATAATCTAATAGCTAATATTTTATATTTTTAAAATAAGCATAATTATTTGCTAGAGAACAAGCCGAGATATATGGCAAGAGTTCATTGCAAAAGTTTAGCAAAAATTTTTATAGCAACAATTACAATTAAAAAGGTTCAATTCCAAACTCTAGTTTAAGGATCAGCCATTACGTAGTTATTAATTATTATTGTGTGAGTTTTTCTCATTTTGTTAATTTTAAGACATAATCAAAACATAGTGGGCCAAATATCTGGAACATCAAGTCCAATTGGTAAAGCTGTTGGTTGATTTTGGCCTGTGGGCCACCTTTTGGAAACCCCTGCACTAGAGGGATTATATTAGATCATATCACACACATAATATCACCACTGAATGGCTTGAAGTACTGTTATATCCAATTTACTACTACATTCAACAAACAATTCCGATTTTTAACAATTCCGATTAACATTTAAACAACACCTGACATAATTACTACTTACAAGCAGCTTTATTTGTTAAACTCAGTTTTAATAATATTTATAATTGTTAAAATATTGTTCAACCACTTATTAAACATGAAAAGTTCTACATTAAGGCTAGTAAAATAAGTGATAGCAAAATACATATTTTTGTATGACGTTAAAAGTAACTTCATGCTCTTTAAGGTACGACACAGCTATATAGGAAGCATTGAAAATAATTTATTAAATATATATTATATTTTATTAAATAAATATTTTAAAAGTAGTAAAATTTATAATTCACTAATTAATCTTTTTAAAATTAGTGCCTTTCCGGACCTCTACTGTACCCTTTCCAGGAAACTCGTCATTATGGATGATCACCATATTTCCTGCTGTAGAGCCTTTCGTAGAACTACCTTGATCGCGTGGTACTGGGAGACGAGAAGCTGAATGAGGCCAGGGCCTGATTTATCATGAGGCCCAGGCCTAAGCCCCCCTCCCTAAAAGTTACAAAGCTATTCTATTTGTTTTTCCTGAAGAATTTTTTTATTAGAAATAAAAAAATTTTAAATAAATATAACCTTAAATTTACTTATATATCATAATTTACTCACGTTAAATAACTAATAAACTCTTCATAATTAAACAAGTCAATTTAGTTCAAAGTAACAACCAGGGGGCACTCAGCAGTTCTGTGTCTAGGGTTCTTTTCTAGATAAGGCCCTGAATGAGGCAACGTTTTTATTTATTTATTAATTTTTCCTTTATTTTACAAGTTACATCATTTTGTCAGTACTCTGTCATTTTCAATAAAAGAAAATAATTGACTAATACAAGTTCTACTTTTGCCCTAGTCAAACATTTTTTAAACAATTTGAAGTTACAGTGTGGTACCTTATAGCATATACATCTAGTATTTAAAATTTTCTATATTCTATGGATTCCTATTTACAAACATTGAGCAATTTTGTTACACTTATAGGTTTGTATTAATCATATATCGTTTTTACATTTAGCTTTTTTGCTCCATCTTATTTTTCGTAAATCTCAAAGAACAAATTATGTTACTTCACTCGGGATATTTACGTATCATGATCGGCCATGCTAACTACAATTGCCAAGGTGCCAAATTGATTTTAAATGAGAAATTTAAAAAACAACAACATGTAGAGGTTTGCCCGAGGGTGGCTATAAGTTATACCCTTCGTGCTGGTCCCTTTTTGTGATAGATTTTTTTTTTTTTTTTTTAGTTTCTCGAGAGCTGCTGCCAGGAAGTTGTCAAGGCATCGCACCTATTCAACCACAGATCATGATATAGAAATATCTCCACTTACTAACTGGCGTAAAAAAGTTTTTTTTTTTCTCAAAAAAATTAAGCAGACAAGTTGAAAACGAAACTTTTTTCATAAAAATTGGTGAACCATAAAGCGTAAAGTTTTCTTACATCGATTTCATTGAAGCAAAGAACAATCAATATAAATATCCTTCATTAATTAAGAATTTTAAAAAGGTTCCCCTAATACCAAAAAAAAAAAAAAAGTTTCATGCAACATCATCGATTTAAATTTAGCTAAGTTGAAAACAGGATAAGAAGTTGAAAAAATTAATCAATTTGCAGATATTATATTAGAAATTGGATAGCAGATGGAAGAAAGTTTTTTCCTTCCTTCATATGTGAAGTTTTGACAGCTATTTAAACTGTGAATTTTAATTTTGTCTATCTCAAAAATTAGATGAATTTACAAAACAGGAGCATTAAAGATACCAGTGTTCTGCACTCTGCATCATAACTAGAATACTTTTTATAATATTTAAGGGTTGCTTACCCAAGATTATGAAAATTTGGAAATACTTTATAATACCAAATTGTGACAGCAACAGATGTTTCACTAGCAAAATGTTTTACACAGTATATCTATGCCTAACTAAAATAAATCTTAACTATATTTCAATGATAAGAAATCATTATTTGTTTCGTACAGCAATTTCTACAATGATGATGAAAAGCTGTTAATCAGCTGTGCAAGTATTAAATTAACAACTTAATTGATAATTTCTTCAAAATTCAAAACATTTGTTTTTTCTACTAAACTATATGATGAATTTCAATACAAATTAAATAAAATACTGAAAATACATTATATTTAACTAGAAAATGTATTTAACCTGACTTGAAATCAACACTCAGTTTTATTTTCTTTAAAAAAAACTTTCCCTAAACCTATAGAGTATATTGTAATTACTCTCTTTCCAGGGTCATAAGAAAATGGCCAAAATAGCATTGCACACAGCAACGTAGAATAATAAAGACAATTTCTAAATTCATGGCTGGATATTGTAAACATGAAGTAACATCTCAGTTTTTATATCACAAACTATGAAGTAAATTTAATTTTTTTATATTTAGCTTTTGCACTGGATTCTTCTTCATAAATTCTTATCATCAAGTTCATTCTTTAAGCTTTTCTTTTTTTTTAAAATCTTTAATATCCTACTTTTTCTTTCACCATCTCCAAGTTTAAGATATAGCACAATGCAAAACTGTCTGACAAACTTGATAAAGAGTTCAGAGAAAAAAAGAAAGGAGCAAGGACATTAATTTTCCAACAAATGATAGATAAATATCTACCTTAATTGGTCCTCATCATGTTCAAACTAAACAAATATGAAGTTATTGCTAAAACATCCACTATGCTGAAATTCCAGGTAAAATTTAAATAGGCAACATTAGTAAAAGTTTTCAGACAGTAAAAATATTAGATATTCTATCTACAGGGGTCTGTAACTTCATAAATTCAACTTTAGGAAAAACAGTAGAATAATTTCACAAAATACTTTTTCTTAAAGTTTTATTTTTGTGTCTCGTAAGAAACGATAAATCCATATTTTTGTGTTGATTTTTTAATATAATTTTTAATTTTCACAAAATAGGTATCTCTCTGAAAAACCTAGACAGACCCCTGGTCGAAAATGCATCAGTTTAGCCAAATTTCAATACAGAAAAGCAAAATAAATAAAAACATATTTCTCTAAACATGCAATTCAATAATGTAAATACTTGGCTTAAAAAAAATGATAATTTCTAAAACTAGAAAGTACATGAGGTGTGTAGAATTAATAAGACAATTCAAAAATTAATTGCTGGACAGTATATCAGCAAAAAAGAAATAACATTCCATTTTTCTATACATCACACAGTATTTTCTATAAATCTAATGCTTGGCTTTTTGGCAGTATTCTTCTGAAATATCCCATAACTTTTTAGCAACCTTATCATCAAGAGCATTTTTGGCGTAAGGCTCTTTTTTACAGTTACTGTAATAACATCCACTTTCTCCTTCAACGTCTTCAGATATAGCACAGTGCAAAATTGTCTGACAACCTTGATAAGGAGTTCTTACAAAGAACAAAGCAAATGGAGCAAGGGCAATCATTTTCCACCAACTGATAGATATATATCTACCTAAATTGGTCCACACCATACCTGGACTAATCGCATATACAGAAACATCAGATCCTTTCAATCGTTTGGCTAATTCCCTAGTAAATAGAGCATTTGCCAATTTACTATTTTTGTATGCCATTTTCTTGTCATAATCGGATTTGGAGTTCAAAGTTTCAAAATTTAAACAGCCTGTTTTATATAAGGCTGAACTAACCACAACTATTCTGGAAGGAGCAGACTGTTTTAATTTTTCTAACAGAAGCTTAGTGAGAAGAAAATGGCCTAAATGATTAACACCAAACTGCATTTCGAAACCTTCTTTGGTGGTCATAAACGGGCATTGGAATACACCAGCATTGTTGATTAACACATCGAGTTGTTCTTCGCTACGAACAAATTCTTTAGCAAAATTTTTTATGGAATCAAAAGAAGATAGATCTAATTCCATGATTTTAAGTACACCATTATTGGATCTAGATCGAACGTCGATCAAAGCTTTTTGCGCTTTCTCTGGATCTCTACATGCTAATATAACCCGAGCTCCGCGTTGGGCTAACTCCAATGCGGTTGCTTTACCAAGACCACAATTAGCACCGGTGATAACGACTGTTTTGTTTTTCATATTTCGTTTGCTTTTGCATCTGCCCCATTTATATTCTCGGTATTTGCGGATGACAATCATCACAACTAAGGCAGCAGCGGAAACACTGCATATTTTGATCAACATTTTGCCGACTACCAAAGTTCTAAACGATAAAGAAACTATTTTCTTATGACGAGATTTTCACAAGCAAAGACGCAAAACTCTATCAATTATTAAACTGATCTGTATTCTTACAAACGGCAGTGTTAACGATTTAAAGGTTATTATAGCAGACGTTATTTATTTTGGGTGAAATCGAAAATGAAATTCATTTCACTTCAAGTCAAAATTATGATGAAAATGCAAATTATTTATTTATTAAGGATTTACTTGATCGCAACCGTTGTTTTCATACTTAAGCTTTTAAAAAATGGCAACACATGTAATTGTAAACAAACATTGGAGAGTTTTCGATATTCTTTCCGTGGATAATGACGTGTTCCTGTAATTTAATAAATGCTTTTTTTTAATTGGAAAAAAGGAATTATTATCATATACACCATGTCTATTCCAATGTCTCGAGAGGAGATTAATTTCGTTCGGTTATTGACTAGAACAGAAAATTCCATACCTGAACGTCAATCTAATGATTGGAGACTGGAACCTGTAAGTAATTTTTAGCATATATTCTTCTTTCTGTTCATAATTTATTTTAATAATTCTCTTATATGCTTTCTTTTCTTTTATTAGTACGTAAAAGATATTGAATCACGACTAGCTTCTTTGAAAAAAATGAATACCTGGTAAGAAAGATAACTTGTTCATATGCTTGGTAGTGAAACTAATGTTTATTTGAGGTTTAAATGGAGTATTATCTTATGACTTTTTGAAAATTATAATATGAATTATTTTGTTGACTTAAAATATATTTTTTATGAAGACATCTTGCTTACATAATATATAAGTACATCTAAATATGCGATTTGAAGATTTGCCTTATCATAACACAGTTGCAAATTTTTGAAAAAAATTTTGTTTTATTATTGATATTTGTGAAGTGTGCAGAATTGAAGCTACATTGTAATATTTATTCACGTGTACTACTATTAAGAATTTTTTAAGTTGTTTTTCCATTTGAAGATAATCTATATTAGCATTAAAGAAAACATAGCTGTATTTATTTGTTTAGTTGTAATTTAAAGTTTTCTTCAATAAAAAAAATTACCTCTTATTCATGTTTTCATTTTTTAAATTTGTGCTAAGGAAAAACAAAGAGAATCTTTTTTTTTTAGTTGTTGTTATCTGTGTTAAAAGGATCACCAAATTTTAGTAACAAGTAGGCAGTGCCATGTAACATTTCGGTTTCATTTGCAATATGACTTCAAAAAGTGTACTTTGCACTTATAAGAAATTTATTTCAAGTGTTTTAATTTTCTTTAATGCAAAAACTTGTTTTGTTGTTTATTAATTTTCATTTGTTTATCAGACTCTCAAAAATTGAAACTGCTTTTGAGGTCTATAACATTGGAGAGAGAATATAGAATAGAATTAGACATCACAAAATGATATATTTAACAATTGTCTTCAAGTGTAACCAAAGTAAATAGTTTAGGATCATTATGTAATTATATTTTATTTCAAATATCCTACTGTAAAAGTGAAATATATAAGAGTGGAGTATTTTTAGTTTTCTGTATTTGTAATCATAGACATGCAAACTATATACCATACATTGGTCAGCCTATCAAGTTTAACACACTCATATTACGTTACTTCCATATTCAATTACCATATTTCCTGGTCTATGAGTAGACTCTATTTTTGATTACGAGATGCCAAATTTCTAGTATGTCAGATACAAGTTGACAGCTAAGAAATTCAAGAATGGAAAACATTAAAATAATAATTAACAAAAAGAAATATTAAATTTACAAAAAAAAAAAATTTATTTATCTTAAAAATTTTCTTTTTAAAAGTCTTAATTTTCTTACTTTTAATTTTTTTAGCATAATTTAGAGTATTGTTTCTAAAAAATAACTTTGTATTTTAAGAAAAAGCGTTAGGAAAAAATTCAAAATTAATCTTATATAACAAATTAATAAGAATAAGTTTTTGAAAGGTATAAATTGATACAGAATTATTTATATCTATTTCATTGTTTATATTATAATGCATCAATATTTCACGAACAAGAAATGTGAGACTTTCTTACTGGTGTGTAAGTTGAACCTTTGATTTTTCACGAAATTTTGAGTGTTTAAAAAGTCTGATCAACACTAAGCGTACCGGGTATACAATAAATCTGATCCAAAAATCGATTCAGATTGATAATAAACCCTAGCCCTAAAGCTGTAGCATTAACATGCCATGCACAACCATGTGTTTTGGTACAAGTAGCCAGTTAGTTTAAATATTTCTGATTACATAATATCTTTTTCTGAATGCATAATATTTATATCGTTACAACTTCTCTCCCTTTTAATGGGAGATTTCTCTCAAATATTTAAAGCGGTAAAAGTAAAATTTTCTCTCAAATATTTAACTCATAATTTTCGATTTAATGTATATGATTTCGAATTACTAGAACTACCACAATGTATATAAATATTTCGAATGTTTACGTGAAGTTTGGCTTTTAAGTGTGGAAAAAGTATCATTTCTACTTACCTAATTATTATTTTACTACCAGTTAAAAGTGCTAGGTTGTTAACAATGTATTTAAATTTTATAATTTATTTTAAAATGTTCACACTGATTTTGTGCAGTACAAATAATTTTTAAAGAAATATGTTTAAGCAAGTCATTTAGTTATACCTTCAATCTGTTGTTTCCTAATTTTTTTTTTTAAAAAGTAACAGATTTCTTTGAATTGAAATGCACAAAATTATTAAAAAGGGAACGAGGAAATTTTTAATGATTCTGCAAAGTCTTTTATGTACTTATTAGATTTAACTATACTTTGGTTGTAAATGATAATTCTCTTTTATGATCTAAATATATTTAATTTTAAAAACTTTACTTGTTTAATTGTTAAATGAAGAGTTTTAAGATAATGAAGTAACTTAATTATTTATTTCAGCCAACCAAGTAAAGATACCTTAGCTGAATATTCAAGACGTGTTGAATTTCTCAGAGGTGTTATGGAAGCAGAAAAGCAGGTATTTGTATACTCTTTTTACTGGTATCTTTATAGGACTTTTATTTTTACTTCTTTTAAGAAATTTAAAAAAAACATCAATTCCTAATTTTTAAAGCATTCAAATAACTTCAAATGTATGTCTAATGTTGTCTCTAATCTCTTCTTCAATTATGGAAAGAGAATACAGTTCGATAGGCAATATAAGTTTTGGGTAGTCAATAAGAAACTATTGAGAAAGACATTTACTCTAGCTAATGGGATAAATGATTGTAAGTAGAATTACTATTAGAACTTGAAAGCCAAAAATAAATTGCAACTATTTGTTGATCTGAATCAGTGTATGGATAAGAACCTGACACTAAAGTTGAATTAAGATGTGGAAAAAAGAGTGATTTAAACATTAGGCATTAGTATTAATCAAAGTAATAAAACCCACTGTGTTTGCTATATGTGAATAACTATTAGTTTTTTTGTTTTGAAAGTTAGAAAATTGTAAAAAATTTTAGCAAAGAGTTTTCACATCAAAGAAAATTTATTTGCTACTCTGGTGAACTGTTTACTCTTTATTTAAGCAATTTCTCATTTGATTTACTGTCAATAAATTTTTCTTATATAATTTATTTTTTTCCCTTACTTGTTTGATATAAATATAAAAAAAAATTTTTTAATAATTCACTAAATATAGATGTCTTAATACTGAAGTATATCTCCAAGTAAATGTAGAATCTTATTTAGTGCTGAAATTGTTTTGAATTTAAATTATTTTAACATTAAAATTTTTTTATATTTAATTGGCATTTTTATAACATTTCAATAAAAAGTCAAGTTTTCTTATTCTATGTACATCATTTTATTATTATTATAGTTTATTTTAAACTGAACTTATGTACAAAAAAATTGACATACTATAGTTTCAGTTCTATAGACAGGAACATTCCTCAGTGTTTCAGATACTGAGGAAGGTTCTTGCTTATAGAATTTAAACTGTAGTATGTATGAAAATTTTTTGTACTTTATACTTGTTATTTGCATCAGTCTACATAGCCCAAAGCACCTATCCATTATTGGTTGAACATTACATTATGTGTATCTGATAAGAATGTTCAATGTTTCTATTTTATTACAAAAGGTAAAATTTTGGATAAGAAAAAATATTTTCTTTAAAAAATTATTGATATTAGTTCTTTAGTTTTGAGTGACTTTTAATTAAGAATATTTAATTTTATAAACTTGTATGATGAAGCAGGGTGCGTACAGACTCCTTATACTCCTTAGAAACTCCTTATATTATTGCATTGCATAGATGAACTTACTAAGTCCGCTGATGAATTTGCTGTCCAAGCAAGGAAAATAAATGATGACTTATCTGTCAACATCTAATAGTTTACGAAAAACTTTAAAAGAAAAAAAAATTTAATTGCAAGTGTTAGAAGAAAAAAAATAACAGCAAATAATTCTATTTTTACATGTTACAAGCAAATTTAATTTTTTTATTATAATTTTTTCTTTTTTTTTTGGTTTAAAATGCCTTAGATTTCAAATTTAAAAATATAAAATTGTTAGGTTTATATGTTTATCTTTAACATCTGTACTTAAACAAGATTTTTTACAATATTTGAAACTGGAAAATGTATTTATGTGTAAAAGTGATAACTTTATTTATTTTTATTTATGAAGTTTGACAAAGTCATAATTTATTTCAAAAGGGCTAGAAAAAAATATGCAAAATTTTTCAAGTTCCTTATAATAACTGCTTTTTAATTTAAAAAAAAAAAATTCTAGTTATCTTTTACACAAAGCTTTTAAATGTTTGATAAGTCCTTAAAATTTGGGCTCCTTGGATTTCTTCTTCTGATATCTGTATGAACCCTGGATGAAGTCGATCAATAAAAAGGATTCAGTATCTAAAACACTAAGAACTAACTGCAGGTATTGAAATTAAAATAACTTAGTCATTGGTACAAAAGAAGAGCAGCTAAGCATTATGACTAGCTGTTGGTTTACATATACCTGTTACATATAAAGATTTTTTTTAAAAATTGATAAGTATTTAAATGAAAACTTTCGATGCAAAGGATGCAGCATATCAACATGGTCCGGATACCTCTGTGTCATGCATAATTTTACTGCATTACAACATTAATTTTATTGCTTTTCTTTCTATACATATTGTGCTTGTAAAGTTTATTGTAATGTTGTCCTTATAATAACTTACAAAAATTGTCAACTCACATTATTCTTTACTGTGATATTGCACATTTTCACTTCAATATTAATAAGTTTTTATCAATATTTGAATAGCTATTGTAAGAGAAGATATTGTAAGTCCAGAAATCAAGTATTGAGAAATAATAAAATATAATTTCATTTTCAATGCATTAATTTTTGACTTAAGTAATAAGAAGTATTAGTAAGATAACTTAATACTGTTTTCACAGAGGCTGTAGATTAATTTAAGTTCAACAGAACTAAAAAGAAAGCGGTTTTAGACTTGATTCATCTTTGAAAACTGGTTTGTAACACATTCTTAAACAAAAATTTGAAATATAAACTATATCTTCCCTCATGCTGTGTTTACCTGTTCATATCACAGAATGTTCATGCTTGAAATTTTTGCAATGTTTAAAATTTCTTGAAGAACTAAACTTAAGAAAACTGTTTTTGTTTCATTACAGCTGGTCACATTAAAATTAAACAAGGATAATTTAAGCAATATGTTTTATTTCGATTAGGTGTTAAAATTGTTTAATTCTACAAATAAGATGTTTAATACTAAAAATCAGATATTTAATTATACAAATAAGATGCTTAATTCTACAAATAAGATGTTTAATTCTACAAATAAGATATTTAATTATACAAATAAAATGTTTAATTCTACTTGCAGTGATTCAAGGTAAATCATCAGTGCATGGGCATGAAAGCAGCAGTTAACTTGTGAATAGTCAATAAAGTTTAATATGACTTAGATATGAAAACGAATTGTAGTTAATCATGCAAAAGGGCTCTATGTATAATGTTTTAATTATCAAAATACATTTTACTAATTTTTATAACTTTTAATATGAATTAGAATTGTAGTTTATGATGTGAAAGGATCATAAGTATGGAGTTATAATTTTTGAAATACATTTTACTTGTTTAACTATTTGATTTTTGTTTATATTTTCGTAAATGTTGCTTTGCTTTTTTGTTTTAATTTTATAATTTTGATTACAGCCTACTGTTGCTGAGAAAGCTATAGCAAATCAGCTGTTGTTTCCAGGATCTGCCACAAGTGCAAGCAATAAAATTCACCTGCAAACAAAAGCTCAGTACTTGCGTGAAATGAGAGAAGAACTTTTAGGAACAACAGATGATCATACAAGTAATACAAAAGTTATTTATAATTTAGATACAATTATTTTTAATGCATTTTCTGCATAAGTTTAATTTTGCATATATGCAAAATAAAGTTAGTTCAGGAAATTTCTGCATTTGTTGCGTGTCGATTCAATAAAACATCAGTACTCATTAAAGTTTTTGAGAGTGCCTCGATTTTGTCAAAAAGTAGGATAGAGTTTGCATAATTTATTGTAGCCTTATTCATGTTAATATATTACTAAAGTTCATTAGAATACACAAATTGTACAATCCTTCAAAAAAAAAAAAATTTTTTTTTCCAAATGATGACCAATATCCTGTATAACTTGTTTTCTTTGGAAATGTGAATAAATATACAATTGAGTCCTGATTTAGTGACACTATTCTGCAATACTATGAAAATTGGGGTGTCTCTATATAGAAGACATAAAATCTTAATTTGAAGTAAAATTTTAAAAAATTTATTTATATTTTTTAAAAACTAACAAGAATTTAATTTGTTGTGTGATCTATGATTCAATGGTGCAACAAAAAAAAATTTTCTTGATGGAGTTTTAAAATTGATAATTTTAATATTCTTAAATTTTCATGTACAATAATTTGAGAAGAAAAAAATTTCAAATTATAAATTACTTTATTATTTTATAAACTACATTATTAGATAATATTTATAAATTATTAAATAGATGAGAGGATATTAGTGTGTATTATATTTACAAAATTGCCAAAATATTTTACTAGTTTTTTGAATATTTTACTTATTTTTTAAGCTTGGCTAGTATTTTTTTTTCTTTCAAAATTTGAATTCTTCATTTTAAAATAAATAAATGATTCAACTGTCATAATTTCTAAAATTTTTATTAGTATCAATTTTGTTTTATTTTTTTTCTTACTAAATCTCTTTTTATTTTTAATAATTGGAAAGTCAGCATTATGTAGTTCCTGATTGGTGAAATATGGAGCCACTCGATTCATTAAGATTTGAATTGATTGATTTTCCTTTTATACTGCAAGACGGATGAGAAAAACTTTTGCATTCTGCTTAGTTTTGAATTATTCTTATTTAATTTCCTTTTTGTATTATGTTTTGTCTTTTAATAAATCAAATCCCTTTTATGATTTATCAGCTGCTGATAATTTTTCTTAAAGATGATTTTTGGGAGGGGTTTAAACTCCCAAAATATTATCACGGCTGTACCTCTTAAATGAATTCTTAAATTTATTCAGTATAGAGTTTCGCAGGATTTTTCTTTTCAAATTGATCTATTTAAGGGAACATAGGAAGTTTCTGCTTGATGAAACCTTTTGCTCATAATATTTTCAAAATCACTAAACGAAGGGATTTTTCCTACTTCTAAATTTTTTGGCGACTTTCTTAAAGTTTTGGATTTTTACACATTTCACCATTTTGTTGGCTTAAGATTTTCTTTAAAAGCGCATGGTGGGAGTCGTAGAAATCAAGTTAATTCTTTTTTGTTATCAATAGAGTATCTAGATTTTTCTATAATTTTGGTTTCTTTATGTTTCCTCTAATTTTGAAATGCCTCTCTTTGATCATTCAATTGATAATATTCGTTACACAATGAATGTGGGGGGGAAATTTCACTTTCAGGATTCATATGCCATGGGGAAAATCTTTAAAACTTGGAAATCTAAGGGAAAATGAAAATTTTTGCCAAAAACCAGGAATGTCGAGTGTATGGGATTGAACCTCTCCTTTCTTTTCCCAAGAAACATAATAAAAATATCCCGAAAAGCAGCCAAATATAATCTGTGTTTGGTTCTTTGTGGTAGTGAATACTTAAAGCAGTGACAGTGATTTCTTATTGATATATATTGGGTTTTTTCTTTCATGGTTTTGAAGTTTTGTTAATGTGCTTTTAACTGATATGCTATGAACTGTTGCTTTAAGAATCAGGGAACTTTTTTCAAATTTGTTGTGTGATCTATGATTCAATGGTGCAACAAAAAAAAAGTTTCTTGATGGAGTTTTAAAATTGATAATTTTAATATTCTTAAATTTTCATGTACAATGATTTGAGAAGAAAAAAATTTCAAATTATAAATTACTTTATTATTTTATAAACTACATTATTAGATAATATTTATAAATTATTAAATAGATGAGAGGATATTAGTGTGTATTATATTTACAAAATTGCCAAAATATTTTACTAGTTTTTTGAATATTTTACTTATTTTTTAAGCATAGNTATGTAGTGCATTTAACTTAATTTTGTTGTATGTATATGGATATATTGGGTTTGCTGGGAAAATAGTTTCCTTTTTTTCCAAGAGAGGACTCAACTGTATTTTTTACAGCCAACTTCACACTTAAGCTGTCGTTATAAATTTTGACAAGTGATACAGCAAGACTTTCTTTTGAAAAAGTTGAATTGATTTTAGTCGGTAGTTTTTGGTTGATGCCGTTTCAAATAATGGAATATGAAAGGCAGTATTTTCAGCATATTTTACTTTTTTCCTATGAAAAAGGTAAAAATGCTGTTGGAAAAAAAATTATTGAATGAGTGTGGAGAAGATGTATTCACAGTACGACAGAGCCAAAACTGATTTTCAAAATTTTGATCTGGCAATTTCGGTATTGAAATGCCATTTGAAGCTGCTGAAGACACAATAAAGGCATTAATTGATGCAAACCGACGAATTACGATTCCTGAGATTAAATTTATCGAATACCACTGTTTATGATCATTTGAAATGCTTAGGTTTAATCTCAAAGCTTGATATATGGGTTCCTGTAGCTTTTACAGATAGTTTGTGCTGTCACTTTGAAGTCTTTGATTTTCTTCTCAAACCTCATAGAAATGGTACATTCTTGAAGTGTATCATCAAGAAGAGGTAAAAAAAAATTACATGGGCCCATTCTTTGCCAACAAAAAGCCAAAATTTTATGAGAGTGGAATTGCCAGCCATCTGCCAAGTGGTCAGTGTCCTGACTACGAAATCAATGATTGCAGGTTTGAATCCTGTTCAGAGCATTGATGTTTCTCTGTGTGTGTTGTTCTATGTTGTGTGAATGTGACCCACCTTATGAGCGGCATTTGTGGTAGCCAGGCATGGGTAATGTTGCTTGGCTCCAGGACTTGGGTTCATAGGTGCCCACGTTAAATGAGCAACTGTTCCAACATATTCCAAAAGAAAGAACGAGAATTACAGTACCTGCCGTTAGGGAAAAAAATAAGTGTGGAATTATGCTACTGCCAGAAAGATGGGGAAAGATATTGAACTAAAATGGACAATATATAATTCATAAAATATTTTATCACCATAAGAAAAAAATTTTTATTTTTATAAATAAAAAAGAAATTACTTTCCGAACAACGCAATATATTATATGATTATTTATTCATTTTCATTCACTTTACTTCTATGATTTTTAAGTTATAGTACTTAATCAAATATGGTTTGTTTATTATGGTAATGTATGGTATATTTACTAAATGAAAGTGATATATGTGCTATTTTCTCATCTGTTAATTTCTTTCAGTGTCTGATGGGGTACGATTAAGAAGTGTGTCATCAACCTCTCATCAGGACGATTTTGATGCTGTTATGCAATATCATAATTCAATGCAAGAAAAAGTTGCTCAAGACATGGTGTCTTTAGTCCAAAATTTAAAACAAAACAGTCTTTTAACTGGACACATCATCAAAAAGGATACTGAGGTATTTAAACAATTTTAAGTATAAGAGCATTTTAGTTATTTTTAAACTAAAATGTCCATGATTACATTCTTGCCGGTAAAATAAATATTGATGCTAAATCAGATATTCTTTTGCCATTCTGAAAATTTAAATGGTGTTTTAAACGTGTACTACAAAAATTGATTAGTTTTTTTTTTTTTTAATTTATCATAAAAAATGTCTTTGAAATATAGATCTCAAGCAGAACTTTGGTACACCCGAGACACTCATAAAATATAAAATTATATCTCATTTGTGTTACTTAGAACAATATTATATTGTGCTAATATTAAAAAGAAAATGGTGTTAAGACTTGCAATGAATCTTAAATTAATCCAGTTCAAATTTAAAACCAAGTTACTTTTTTCTGTAGTTTGATTTGACACTTGAAAAATTATATGTTCATTCATCTTAAAGATGTTTCTCTAGAAACAAAGAAGTATGTACTAGGTTTTTCAAATAATAATAATAGTTTTTTAATGATTAAAATCAGGATTTGAGAGTACCTGAGGTTACACCAGGAAGCATTAATTAACTTTTGATTACTGAGAAGATGCATTGATTAACTTTGTAAGATCTCTAACTGGTACCCATAATTTTTATATAGTTTTTGCCGTTCGTTTGTTATTTAAATTGTTTGTTATTTAAATTCCATACTAAGCTGTGAAGAGCTGAACATTTTTAATGCCAATGATGCTTATTTAAAAATAATTTAATTTTAGGATATTAAACTTGCAATTGTTATGAGAAAAAAACAACACTGAAAATAAAAAATTTCTTTGTCAAGATTTTAATTCCAATGTTTGTTGTAAATAACATGAACATTTTCACTTAAAGGGGGAGATTTATTTATAAACAAAGCATTACTCTACAATAATATGGTGCATAACACAGTGTTTTATCAATTTTACAGGCTTTAATAAAATCTGGTGAAATGGCTGATGACCGATACAGTGAACTCAAGGTAGAGAGTGACAAGCTAGAAACTTATACAAAAAGAGCCTGTAACTGGTGTTTATGGATTATGTTAGGTGCAGTTATTTTAATATTTATGTGGATGATTATTTTCATTCGACTCTTCCCAAAGAGATGATATTTTATTTAATTGAATAGAAACTTTACCAGAAATATATTTATTTATATTTTTATGCTATGTTCTGTTTGTTATTATGACATTTCATTTTAAAAGCCTGTATAAAATTATAATATAGTGTGCAGAAGGGTTTTTTTTTAATTATTAAAGTTATTAAAAGATTACCCTATCAATTAACATGCTGTCCTTTGGGCATGTTCTTTCTGGGTGTAATACAAACTTCCAGTTTTAGGTCATTTCCTTAAATATTAAATTAAGAAGACAATGAGAAGAAAAACTAAATCTCTTTATTGATTTGAATACTCTCTTTATTGATTGAAACTACATTAATAAATAATTAGTATTTTGTAACTTACTACTATTGTTCAATTTTGTAACCTTTTGAATCTTATCTAGAAGAGCAGGGGCAAAGACGAAGGAAGGGTTTACCCCACTAGAGAGTTACAAAATCTCAGAAATTTAAAAAATATGTGTAAATGATTGATTTTATATTAATTATTTATCATCTTTTATATGTCATTGTTTATGTATATGAAATATTTTTTTACACTGTGATGAAGATAAAAAATAAATATCTCCTATATTTAGTGCTGCTTGAGAATGTAGAAATTCAATCTAGAGAATTTTGCAAATGAGAGACGAAATTGTTTTCTCATCCCATGTATTGCAAATATTAATAACTTAACTGCTTCCTTTGCTATAGTTTTTTAAGTATCAAAATATATATCACAAACGTATTAGCCATTACATTTTTTTATAACTACGTTTTTTGAAATGACTATCAGTTGAAAATCAAATATTTTTAAAAACTTGTTGCAGATTCACCATTTCTGTTCTAGGCTTTTAGTTTAATACAATTCAGAGCTATCGCAATAATAATTGCTAACAGCTTGTAAAAAAAAAATTCTCTCTATTACTTAATAATTTTTTCTAGCTCACTAGAGAATGATCCCCATTAGTTCAAGTTTTCTTTATTGTTATCTACATACCTTATTTTCCAGTTTCTATGATGTTTAAATATGAAAGAGAAAATTCCATGCTCACAGCAATTTAAATTTAGTGTTTTGTCAATTAAACTTGAATTGTTTTGATTAATTTATTGTAGTTGTTAGATCGTGTTTTGTTCTTAAATATTAACCATATCTTTAAGGATAAAAACATTGTCTAACAAATGTCCTTAAAAGTTGTTTTCCTATTTTATTATGGTCGTTAGATTATGTTTTGTCAAAATTAGTAAGACTATCAAGAATTTGCAAATATTCCGACAGATACGAACTTTTCGAAGTATTAATTTCAATTTTTAAAAAAAATTAACACATTTTAAACGAAAATTCACCGGAATATAAATACAGATAGATATTTAAATTTATTAGTCGTAGTCAAGTACTCAATTTGTTCATCAACTCAAATTGTGATTATGCTGAATCCTGCTATCACTGGTTGAATAATTCTATAAAATAAAATTTTTTTGAGTGAATTGAACTTCTTAATACTAGTAGAACTTAATACTAATGTCTGAAGTGTTTTTAAATTATTTAGAGCATAAATAAATTATGATGCATTAGTGAATTTAAGTTTATATTTATTTCAATTTTTGTTAACTCTAATGGATAATTATTAAGGAAAAACACAAAAAAGAATCATTTGTATAGGGCACGGGCTCATCTGGCCTTATGATAAATCATGCGCTGATTGTTGTATCAAGGTAAGATAACTTTAAGGATACATTTCCAATGATTATCTGCTTAAAAACTTATTCAAATAAAACAAAAATATCAAATTAGGCCAATGTATCAAAATTAACAATTAACTTGAAAATTTATTTCCTTTACTAATAGAAGCAAAAAAATTAAATGATTAACATTTCTCTTTCTCAATAATAAAACAATTCATATAAAAAATTATATTTGGATATGAAAAATAAATCTATCAATGAGTTAGTTGTATATTTGGAGCAACTACTTCTTTTCACTTAAAGAGTAGTTTGAACCAACGATTTCCTCCTTTCAAAGCTTAATTCTTGGAAATAAAAATTTTTTAATGCACAAAAATTAATTTTTTGAGGCAAGTCTAGTCGAGTTTTATGAAAAATTCCATTTCGAACTTGATTTAGCAAATTTTCTAAAACAACATATTTTGGAGCATAGCATTTTATTTCATAACTGTCGTTGAACAACCGACCCAAATTTGGGTTATGACTACTAATGCAGAACTTCGTAGCCTTGGTAATTTTGAACCTAATGCAGAAGACAAGGAAACTCCTGGATCAAGTATTGGAAGAAATTTGCCTTTGTGGAGTATTTTTCGATGGTACTAACCCACATTTGCATTACATAGAGAGGAAAACCACCAAAACCTTCCACAGTTAGCCTGACGGCAAGGGGACTCTAACCCATGATCCGTCTACCACTGATGATTTTTTAAGTCAGTACTGTGGTCAGTGCTAGCCGGGTATAGATCTACTAGCCGGGGCCATATCTACTAGCCATTGCTGGGATTCGAATCTGAAAGCGAACACTCTATCTCTTGAACCATCACGACTCAGAGCATTGCATTGAAATAGGATTGGTACTTACTAGTTTATGCACAATTTAACCATTTTTGAAACTAGTTATGGCATTACTGAGATATGTACAGTGCACCAAAAAAAAGGATCACCTTGAATAACTTTTAATCGAACGATTGGATCTTCAGGGTTATCTCAATGTGACTTAAAATATGCAAATTAATTAGTACAAACGATATTTTTAAGTGACAAAATCAGACACAATAACTTACTTTCTCCGAATAAACATACCTTTTTTGGAAGGATTTCGGTCTCCCAAAATATTGAGGGTAGCTGCAATCTGGGAAATATGGTCCCAATAGTCTGCACCCATTTAATGTTAATTTTATTTTTTTGCGTATTTCGCCATATCTCGAGGTTTTCTAAAGCAAATTGAAACATTTTTGCACACAATTAAATTTCCGTACAAAAAATAAATTCTAGTAAATACTTGTTATTTAAAAGGTAAGGTAAAAATTTTTTAAAAAGGTAAGGTTAAGGTAAAAAAAATTTTACGTCAGTAAGTATGTAATTTCGTTTGACAAAATACAAAATTTGAGCAAAATTGGTTAAATAGTTCCAAATAAGTCTTATTTTTTTCTTTTTCTTTAAAAAGTCGAATATTTAAAATTTGATTTCTCAGGAATTATTCAATTAATTTAGCTCAAATTTTCTATTTTACCATGTAAAATTACATATTTTAAAATGACATAAAAATTTTATACCTTACAATTCAAAACTTTTTTGTCTATTATTAAATAAAATAATCGATAACAAATATCAAATATTTACTAAAAATTATCTTTGGATAAACGAATTTCATAATTGTGTGCAAAAAATTTTTTAAATCCGCTATAAAAGTTCTTGAAATAAGGCAAAACATGCAAAAAGTAAAATTAACATTAACGGGTCCAAATTTTTGGACTGCTCTCCTGACCGAACTATGGAGACCATGTTTTGGAAGACAGAAATCCAAATCCGACACATTTTTGTGTCTGATTTCGTAATTCAAAATATAGTCTGCACTAATTAATTAGTATATTTGAGGTCAATCCCATAAACATAAGAAGGAGTCCAACAGCGTGAAGTTCCCATCATTAGATCAAAAGTTATTCATGGTTTTATGATGCACTATACACATTTCAACCTAATGGAAAGCAAGAAATTATACAAAATTAAATACTAGAGATCTTTTATTTTTAATTTTGTCACATGCAGCTGGTCATTCAAAAACAAAACTATTGTTGGTGCAGCAATGCAGTCAGTGAATAATTTATACTGGCTATTCAACTTACAGCTACTTTTAACATGCACCCACAATATACAATAATGATGACTTTTGTTTGACATAACACAGATAAAAACAATTTTTTTTCTCATTGAAATATAGCCAAACATATCTATAAACAAATATTAATAGAAGCCAACATGTTTGATTTCATGAAACTCTCATTCGCGCAATGAAGAGCCCTGAGTTGAAATAAAAACACATTTTTTTGATTTATATCAGATAATAAATTTTGAGTTTTAAATGTTATAAATCTTCAAAAGCAAAATAACTGTACAGCATGAAGTCACATACACAAATGAACATTGACAACCAATGAACTCTAATGTGTGCAATAAGATAAACAGTCAGATAGAATGGTTACACTTTTACAAAAAACATGTGCAATTCTTCAATTACTTTTTTTTTCACTTCACAATTGTGGCAACATATTTTACAATCAAACATCAACAATTTTTATATATATGCTTAGATATATTTATGATATATATGGCACTCACAACAGGAAAACAATACACATAATTACAACTATGTTAGCTTCCATTGAGGAGTAAGCCAGTGAATAAGAGTTCATGGGAACAAGCTTTCTCCTCATTTTTCTTTTTTTTAATAAATCTCTTCATTCAATGCGTTGAGTAAGACAATAGAAATAACGTTGATTTAATAGCATAAAATATTTGTAAATAATGGTAACAATTTTTAATTCTTTCAAAATGATCTTGAATGTTTTCTCATCAACAAAAAGAATTTAAGGATCAGGTATACAAATGTATATCCAATCATTGTATGGTAACCACTTGCAATTACAATGCTACTAAGTTTTGCTTAGAATTGTTCTGATTATTTTGAAGTTTTCAAGTAAGTGTTTTAAAACTTACATTTTTATGTCTTTTCTATATATATTTTTTTAATTACCATTTTCAGGATATTAAATGAACTTGTATTAAAAATACATTTTTATATAGTGATGCATATTAATAATTTAATCAGCAATGAAGTGTATGCAAAGTTTGTTCTAAAATCAAATAAAAATTGACACAGTTGATGAGAAACCAAACAAGATTAAATTGTACATGAGTTAATCTTTCAAATAAAATTTGAATTTCAAACTCAAGTTATAAACTAACGTTGATAATTTTCAAGAGCATAAAATCTTTTGATAGTTTCACAATAAAATCTATATGATACAATGATTGAATTAGAATATTAAAAGTGAAATAAAATTTGGTGATGGCACGAGATTATAACAAAATAATTTGTGACTTTATAAAACTACAGTTTCTTTGAGCAAACAGTCCATATACGGTGTATAGTACAGTCTACTTGAATATTTCTATATTTGTTTCTTGTATTTGGGTACATGAAAGAAACACATCCTATGTCTGAAAAAAATTCTGCATCTTCATATTATTTCAATTTCTCTCATTACAGAAGGACAAAAGTGACCAAATGGAAGATCCAATGAAAAGTTCTGTCAACTTATAAATGAGGTGCATTAAAAATAAATTTAAAATGTAGGCTTTTGAATTCTTCACAGAAATTTTATTTTCTATGAACCTTTAAATATGGTCAATATAACAAGTCCCATTTTCAAAATTATTTTAGTTATTGAAAAATTTTAAAAACCTTGGCAGGAAAAAATTTATTCTACACATAAATTTTCAAAATTTATTGCCCACTATTTAGTGTGTCATTAAATCAAATGGTTCGAAAAACCAGTAACACATATTGCACAAACACGCTTACCTAAATTGCTTTCATTAAGTGTGACGTAAGTTATTTAAATAAGTATAATTTGAGTTTTTTTTTAAAATTTTTTAGGGTTCTTAATATTGTTAACTCTTTCTTGAATTTTATTTTAAAAAATGAGAGGAAATTCTGTATGCGTATTGAGTACGTAATATAATAGAGAAATCGTACATCATCACTTTTTATAAATCAAATAATATGGGATTGGTTCATTGATTCTAGCAAATAAAGTGAGCAGAAATTAAAATTTAAACACTTAGTAACACCAAGAAAACTATTTTAAGGGCAATCATATTGTAGGAGTACAAAATACTCTTTCGTTCTCGTTAAAATGGCGCAAACTTTTATACATCAATTAAATAGTATGAAGATGCACAGCTTTGTTAGACATACTGTGTTTTCTACATGACAGTAATGAAAAATAAATTTGCGATGGGGATTTATAGCAGTCTTATTACAACAGTTTGTCTCTAAGAACATGTATCACAAGCAAAAATATATCTAACATTTATAAATTAATACACTTCTGCATTACAATATCATTTCCTCACTTTCATTGAAAAAAAGCAAATAGTTGCTTCGAGAAATGTTCTCATTAAAATATTAAACTTCTAACAGAAATTTGTAATAAAATATGAAAAGCACGTTAACTGCATATATTCTACATAAATTTACAATTAGAGAATGCCACATGCTAGTTGGAAAATATTCTCTTTTTTTCTCAAAAATTAGCCTATCACTTTTCATAGGATTAGCCAACTAACATGTATCATTCAATTACACAATATACTTATATCTCACCACATGCAATTTACACACTAAATACAATACACAACAGGTGGTTAGTATATTCAACCACCCCATCATAGTCAGACAAGTAAGTACTACCGTACAGACGGTTTTTTTATTAATTTTCTTTTTTTTATTTTAAATCTCTCACTGTGCAAAGTAGTCTAATGAAAATATATTTCTTTTGATGTGCCCAAGTAGTGTAAAAAACTCTTGTATTTATATCTAAAACCCTGCATCTCTATCTATCGAAAAGGTTAAGAAGCATGGGTGAGGATATCACAACGTTTCTCTCTGACACTAATTCATGAATCTAATTTTGAGTTAAAAGTAAAACAACACACATCTTATAATATATATGTGGCCTTTTTTTATATATGCGGCCAATAGTCATCTTTAAAAATAATTAAACGTAACGTTTAAATTGAATTAATCAAACTTTATTATGAGCAGAAGGAATACGGATATTTCCTTCATCGATTTGTTTTACCACAATACAACGAATTGATTTAAATAAAATAATTAGATGCATCTAAATGTTAAAAACATTTTCCTTAAAAATGAATTTTCTAATTAAATAATCATTCCACATAATCTTTTAAAAAATTATCTAGTAATTTTCGGGTCTAAAATCTCAATTTTCAAAATAAAAAATCTTAGAATGAACCTTTATAAAATATTGATTGAAATGGTGAAAATTCTGGTGAAAAATGATTGAAAATTTTGCAACTAAGTTTGGCTCAAACAAAAAATTATTCTATGTAAGGAAATCAGCTCCCAATTGATTTGGATGAAATTTTAATAAATTGCAAACGTCCTTCTAATCTGAAGTCCTTATGGTGAACCCACAATAGCAAAACATGAACAGATTTTGTGATACGGAGAGTTAAACTTCCATATCATATAGGTTTTATGAGTAATTTTTGTAGATTGTATTCCGACAGAAGGTCAATTTTCGAAACTCCGTACTTCAAAATCTGTTTATTTTTTAACACTGGGTCCCATGAGAATTTCTGATTAGAATGATTTCAACTACAAAATTTCACCCAAATCAAATATACCTAATTCCCACATAAAATGAGTGCGGCCCTTTTTTCTTTATTAACTCCATAATTCAGCCATAGTTAGCGTAACTCTGCAATAAACAAAGATGTTGAATGTATTTTAATATACTTACGAAGTCAATAAACCATAAAAATCTTCGGTGTAATCAAATTTAAAAAAACTTTTAGACACACTAGAAATAGGTAACTTTCAAGCATAATTTTTAAAAATATATATAAATTTGCTGATAGATAGAAATATAAGTAAAGCCATAAGTTTTGCGAGACATTACGCTAATTTACTCTTGTACTGTAGAACTGGAATTTGAAATTTTTAAATGCTGAGTATTTGCAATACTGAACACATAACTTATGAATAATTCATTTTTGTGGTAACAACAAGTGAGAATTTTTTTTGAAAAACAGAGGGAAAACGAAATAGTTTCACTAATCCTACTAAAACTCACAAAAACTGAATATTTTTTATATATAAACATTTTACTTTTCAAAAATTTATTATTACGTCATATAGTGTGTACGTTTACATGTTAGGGTTTTAGAGAAGGGCCCTGTTATGCTATTAACATTAATAATAACCATATTAAATACTTTACCGTTACAAAAAATATAATTGTGTAATATATATTTCTCAACTACCTATTGATTAAAAAAAAACAGTTAAAAAAATATAAAGCTTATAACATCAGAACTCAATTTAATAATATAGAATTGCAAATGTATTCAAATAATAATCTTTCATCATAACAAATTTTGATTCATGTATATATTAAATTATTCTTTCGCTTTAGTCAATCCAAATCAAAAACATGGATCACATGATCACCCATACCTAAATGCTCTTTCATATCACTTTTGATAAACTACTTGGTGCTTTCAGTAGGCTGTCAAAATTAGTAAACCTGGCCAGTTTATAAGAGGAGATAAATCACAGCATATTCACTCACCAGGACATTTAAGATGTGTACTGTTTCATAGAAAGGATTTACATTTCAACTCCCAAAGCAGTACTGTAGCACAACAAATAAATAATAAGAATCATCCTTATGAAATAACATATTTAATGAAAATATATTTTTTAAAACAATAATTAAACTATGAAAACTTTGTTATGTCAATAATCAAAAAAATACAAGAAATTAAAATAGGAAACAACGTTGGAAAAATGTAATAATTTTGATTTATATTTACGATAAAAGTAATCTGCAAGACTAGGAGGACTTAGTCTTTCATAAAACTAATATTTAAGGTACTTTTTTCTAAAGTCGGAACAAGAAACATTGTGTACGTAAATGAATACAAAAAGATTGATAGCAAGTCTTCAATTCAATCCACAAAAAGAAAAAAATTACTGTTTCATGAAGAATCTTAAGCTAATAAGTCTTTTTATCTGGCAAATATTTCCTAAAACAGCTCAACGTGTTAAAGTTCTGTCATAAATCTTTCATAAAACTAATTTGAATAGCTTAAACTCTCTCATTAGTGGTGTTTATTTTGAAAAAATAAACAGCATTAAGCACAACTTATTGTCAATTTATTTTCATGAGAATAGTCCATGCCAAGGGTTTTCAATCTTTTTAAGACTAGTAACATATCCTAGAATACCAATCACACAGCAGGTAATATTATATCAAGGTAAATTTATAGTTATTTACTTCTTTTATGCAGCATATATTTGAAAAATAAAATATCTTTATTGTGGTTGCTCAGCGGTAAGCACATGTAAAGCTAGGGTCCATAACTCTAGACTGCATTGTTAGGTGTTCATGCATCGCTTCCATTTTTTTATTTTAGAAACATTAATTTCTTGTTTGTTTTTTATTAATTAAAAAAAAAATTCTACATTGCATTTTAAAATGAAATTGTTTTCATAAAGCAATTAATGCTGCAACATTCTGAGGAGTACATTGATTTTTTGTAACTGGTTCATCTAGTGTATTTTTCATTTACATCAGTAAGAAATATTCCGTTTTTTATAAACAATAATGAGCAGTTATTTAAACAAAACTGAACAACTGACCTGGTTTTTAAAACTCCCAGAAGCATTGAAACTAGCAACATTTGTGAATTTGATGAAGTGCATTACATTAAGCATCAAGTAACACCATTATATATTTTTGCTATTTAGTCTATCTTCAAAGTTAAAAAATGATTAAATTAGAATTTTTAAAAAGTGAAGTGAACTAAAATATTTCCACTATAAAACAGTACAATAAAAAGCCTTCATTTTTTGTAGACAATAAAAAATGTGATTAAAATTGAGTCTAATGTCAGATTGATATGCATTAACATAAACTAATCATTTTGATTTTTCTATCACTTTATTCTTTTACGCGTTTAATGCCGAGCTCAGGGGCAAGAAAAGCAGCGAACATATTAAAAACACAAATAACGTATTTTGCTATAGGCTTTTAAAAATTCAGAACTATACAAATAAATTTTTAATTTTCAGCTAGATACTTCTACTAATACAGTAGATTTGCCAAGTTAAAGAAAGCATTAAAACACAACAGTTTAAGTAAAACCAAAATTTATCATCATTATAATTTTCTTCTTTAATTTTTATACACTTTATGGTGAAAATGTATTGCAAACAATAAGAAAGGAAATAAAAACTAAAAAGAGCTAGCCAATTATTTTTTTTCTTTCCATTTTCAGCCAAATTTTTTTCCTTAACTATTATTTGTACTCCGTCATTTAAAGCAAAGAAATAAGATCAAAATTATGCAAAAACATCACTTTTACTTTCTAAGCTTAATCTTAAATGAAGCTTTGATACTTCATTTAATTATTGAAATAAAAATGAATCATAAATATTTCATTTTTGTTTTATATAATGTATAATCAAAACAGATACATTTCTTAAATGTATACTTTAACCATTATGAAATACGATATTTTTATATTTTAGCAAGCTAAGAATATACGTAAGCAATTTAAATAAAAGTTTCATTCATTGCAAAAATCTTGATGTAAACAATGAATTGACTATATATGATAAATTGTTCATTGTAACAAAAAGCATGGCATTTAAACCTTTTAATGCAAAAGCTTTACAAGCAATTATTTAAAATGTCATTTTAATAGGGATATAAATATAATTTGAAGGCTATCTTTTTAAACGATTTATAAAATAAATGTAACGTTAAATCAAATCATAATATAAATTTCTTATAAAACAAAATATATAACAAAACTATGCAATACACATATAGAAATAGAACATTCAGTTTGGTTTAAAATCAAAAAAGGAAATTAAATATGGGATTAGATTATAGTGCATGATTGTCTATCTTTTCCCGAAATGGCAGATCGAATCAATAATTAAAAAAATAGCAATCTGCCATTGTGAATAGTTACTTTGACTGGTGACACACGAAAAAGTAGGTTCCAATGGGGGAAGCTACAGTACTCCAAGGCAGCTGAAACATTCGGTGAGATTAGCTATAAAGGTTTGGTAGCACATTTCTTGCGAAATATTTTTACATTACTCATATATATATAGATATATATGTATATATACATTCACAAAACTAGACAGGGTTACAAAGAAGCTGTGCTTTTATCTCACTAACCCAATTGTTGGCAGTGTTATGTCCCCCAATTGTCTGAAGACAGTTTTTGACGTTTCATGAGACCCCCCTCGTAGTCTAGGGTGGGAGGGTCAGGTGATGGCGAAGCTGAGTGGGTGGTAAGGGTATGGCAAGGAGACAAGTTACCATGAACGGAGGGTGGCCTACGTCCCGGGGAAGGACAGGGCTCACTCTTGATTCGCATTGACAGAGGCGAAAGTTGGGAACTGTTAGAACTCAGTGTCAAGTGTGGCATCGGACTTCCTCCGAGATGAACAGAATTTGAACTGAAATAAATTTATATTTATTTTAGTACATGAAGTTTCTAGAAATTTTTAAGTACAATTTATGGTTAAAAAATTGCCTTAAAGTGATTAACTTTTTAAATGAATTGTAAAAAAAATGCTGTTTCTGGTATTAAATGTTAAATAAATGAAGTGATAAATTGTATGTTTTCAAAATAAATAACCATTAGATAAATTTATATTAAAATTATAATATAAATTTTTAAATAAAAATAAGTTAACAGGGGTCTGTCTAGGTTTTTCTGAGAAGTACCTATTTTGTGAAAATTTAGACATAATTTGTGAAAAATGAAAAATTATATTAAAAAATTCAACACAAAAAATATGGATTTATCGTTTCTTAAGGGATACAAAAATAAAATTTTAAGAAAAAGTATTTTATAAAACTATTGTTTTTCCTAAAGTTGAATTTGTGAAGGTACCGAACGGTAGTAAATTCGGCCTGGACAGACCCCTGGTTAAAATGTACCGTTGTAAAATCTACTTAGATTAGATTTCGCTTCAAGTTGACACTGTACGCACGTCTTGGTAAAAATTAAACAAAATTTCTGAAATAATATTGATTGTTGATAATATTGAATAATACTGAAATACTATGCTTTATCTAAGAAATTAGTAAGTTTTTTAACCCCTTCAGGATTGGAATCACATATATGTTATTATGCGATTTTCTGTTTATCACTCACAGTGTCATATATAAATTATGTATTTCTGACTATAGTGATCCACGATCAGACGGATATGATCTGGGGGAACAATTTCTTCTTATTCTGCCTGTCCCGAAGGAATAGAAATTCAATATTTTTTTTTACCTATTTTCACAATAAACATTTGGAACTAGTTTTTCTCGAAACTAAAAGTTTCTCCTTTTGTTTTTCAATTAATTATCTTATTTCTACTTTTTCAAAATTTTAATCCTTTTTTTTTTACATTTTTATGCATATATCAATAAATAAGTGCGAAGGCTTTTTGTTTAAAAAGAATTTCATGTATTTTCACAAAAGATTTTTTTTCATTTAAAAAAATCAAGTAATAAGGAAAATTTTCAAAACTCTATTAAAACAATTTTTAAATCAAGGACATATTTTGAATCAAAGACAAATTCGGAACTAGTTTTTCTCGAAACTACAAGTTTCTCCTTTTGTTTTTCAACTAATTATCTTATTTTCTACTTTTTCAAAACGTTTAATCCTTTCTTTTTTTTCACATTTTTATGCATATATCAATAAATAAGTGTGAAAGCTGTTTTGTTAAAAAACAATTTCATGCATTTTCATAAAAGATTTTTTTTCATTTAAAAAATCAAGTAATAAGGAAAATTTTCAAAGCTCTATTAAAACAATTTTTAAATCAAAGGTAAACAGAATTGGAAAAAAATACACACCTGTTTAAGTTTGCAGAGCCTGACCAATTATGTGAAAAGCTTGAAGAACTGAAACTGCTATTTAGTCCTAGTTCTGGACTTAAATGGAAGTCACCTATTAAACATACATATAATATAGAAAAATAATTTCCTGTAATTAAAATTTCTTTAAGAAATATGTTTTAAAGAGGCTCATTTTATTTATTTCACACAAAAATCATTTAACTAACTAAAATAAGCTAAGTAATTATAAGTAAAAATTTCAAATTAATAGGATTTTTTTTTCATGTTTGCGACTTCATACTTAATTGCTTATATCAAAAAACAGAATTGTAGAGTTCGCTAGATCGAAGGGAATACCGAACCTGCAACCTGTCATCGAGCACATCTTGATATTCTTTCTACTCGGAAATTAGCTGTAACCGACTTAAAGATACAGATGTCATTTTTGTTACCGCGAACTTTTCCCAGCATATAAATATCTGTGAAATCACCAAGCTACTACTACTACTACTCAGTGTGTTATACACTTATTTTGTACTTTAATTAATTTTAAGTTAGTCACTCAGTTTTGTGACTGTATCTTTTTCCGGAAAATAAAACTTTTATTTTTATATTCTGATTGTTATGGTGTTATTTTTGGTTCCCGCAAATGTGAGAACGTTATGCTAGTTCCTACAGAATCATGTGACCTTTTTTTTAAATAAAATACATGCTTTTAAAATTGCTGTTGCAAACAAACATTTCATATTAATATGTAAAACTATTAATAACAAAAAATTAGATATTTTAGCATTATCATAAAGTTTAAATTTTAAAAACAAAAATATTAAAATCAGCGTCCAGCTTTTTGAAAGTTGAGTTTTTATGATGTAATTTAATATTACTATATTTCTTTCCAACGAAACTAATTTTCTGTTTTAATTTAATGCTAACTATTCACTTTTATCTCAGCTAGTGAGCAGATTTAAGTAAATCACAATATCAAAATAAAAACCAATGCATTCTAAATAAATATAGTTAATCATAATTTTTGAAATATTTTTAAGAAACTTTTATAAAAAATTTAATAAAGCATATTGTTTCTAAAGGCTATAAATACATTAAAATAAATTGCAATAATAGCTAATATTCAACTAAATGTAAAAATTTCTAATAACTTGCATGGTCCATTGTGTTTTTAAATGAAAATTTTAACATTTCCTACGATACTATAGGGGGGAGGGCTAACAAATATATTTGACTCATCGCTGTTCTTGCAGCAAAAAAGTTGCATTTTCAGCTGATTTTTTTTAATTCTTAACATTTTTTTTAAAGTATTAATAAACAAAGACTTTTTCAGACATAATCCTTAATAGAAATTCTTTTCAACAACATTTTATTTCAAAAAGTTCTTTGGTATAAATTGATTGTTGACATTTCGTGAAAACAAAAAACCAAAAAAAATACTTAAAAATTATGTATTTTTTAAATTTTGAGCTTAAATATCCTATATTTATTATAAGAAAAAGAGAATACTCACTTGAGTTAAAAGACGAAAGATTGGACGGATAACTGGACACATTATTAGGTGTGGATACTGAGACTATGGGTGTAGGTCCAAGAGAAGTTCGACAATTCTGTAATATTAATGGCATTAAAGATGTTTCATAGTGGAAATAATGCTTAATATATTCATTATTGTTTTCTACAATTATAATCTTTTATTTAAAATAGAAATCCTTAATCACTTTTAAGTGTTCAAATAATTTTAAATAAACAATTAAAACAATATTAAATTAAAGAAATTCAGCAAGAACATCAGCTGACACCTCAACCAGGGTATATAACAACCTGGAAAAAATTAATGGGTGGTAACTAAGATTTTTCAGGACTACTGAAAAAATGAATAAATTTATTCATTTGAATAAACTTAAAGAATTTCGTTTGTGAATTACGAAATTATTCCCAAATTATTTTTTTCACCCATATATATTTCCTTTAAATTAACTATGTATTGACAGTTTAACACATCTAGATATACATATCTCACATTTGTTACCACTTTAAAAAAATTTCTAGACCATTCTACTAAAATTTTAAGATCTTTTTTTAATTTAAAAATTTAAGCTCTTTTTTTTTTAGGTTAGTTTCTCTACTCTATAAGCCCCAGACTGAGCCCAAAAATTACCATAATCAGCAAACAATATTAGAAAACTACAGTAAGAATATAAGAGGATTCACCTCAAATACTCAAGTTTCATTACCAAGTAATATACAAAAAATAAGCTAGAATTTTCAAAATCGGATTATACATATAGTTTAAAATTAATTTGAATGAAAATTACCTAACTACACAGTTTTATTCAAGTGCTATCCAAGTAGTAAAAATTGAAATTGTTTAATCTCTGAGAATTAGTTTGGACTTTTTCAGATTTTATTAAGCTGGTTGATTTCCTGTAACAAAAACCTCTGGTAATGTTATTTAATGACAGTGTTGACTTTTTACGCTGATTAGTTTCATTCAATAAAAACCAATATTTGACTAATATAAGTCAGTCAATGACTAACAACATAATTTTGAATAATTCATCCACAATAGTAAATATGAAAATTATTTAAACCTCCGAAAATTAATTTTAGTTTTTTCCTTCCTATTCTTCTTTCCCATACAAGATAGAAAATTTCGTGCAAGCCAATTTTTTTTAAATGAAATTTTATTAATGACTCAGCAGTAAAAATTCCATATTTAAAAATTAATATGCATAAATATTAAGTACATTATGAAATTATAAAACATCTCAATCATTAGTTTAGAAAAACTATTGAATTTTAACTATAATTTTTCAAGCATAAAGCTCAAGAACTAAAATGCTGTGCAGCATATGTTTATATTTCCGAAAGAAGAAAAAATTCTGTTATATTTTGTCTTTCAGTATATTAAGTAATCTTGCATGTACTTACTACAGGAGAAGGTGAGTGGGGAGCATTTGGTATGATGACATGAAAGTTAGATCTTGAAGGTGAAGGCTGCCTGCTGTGCCTTCCATCTATGCTACCTTCTGGTGATATGCTGCCAGGAAGAGAGCAAGGAGAGCTACCCCTCTGATAACCATTACTACCTCTACTCACATCTAGCAAGTTACCTAAAATTAAACACATACTAAGTTTCTGTAAACTAGCACTAGGCAATTTATAATATCTAGGTAAACCACTTTTACCAAACCATGTATTGTAACAATAAATACATCACACAACAGAATAGTACTAAATAATTTTAATCATAATTGTGAAGTTTCTAAGTTTAAGTATTAAATTTTTAATTTGATTGTGTGTGTATGTATAGATATATATATATATATATATATATATATATATATACAGTACAGAACCCATTATCCGGAAATCAGAAAACTGGAAAACGAAAAAACCGGAACGAAATTCGATAAATTTTCCCACCATTTTTTTAAAAAAAATTTTTTTTTCCTCATAAGATTTTAGGATTTTTCTTTCTCTTTGGAAAGATGTTTTCCTTACCATCATTTTGGAAATAATCATTAGTGTATTACTTCATAATTTTTCTTCTTTTTAGGATTATTTCCAAATATTTTTCCTTTTAGTTGGGTTTAATAATAAAAAAAACAGCTTTTTGTAGCGATTCAGAAAACCGGAAAAAGCAGTTATTCGGAATAGCGATGGTCCCGATCGTTCCGGATAATCGGCTCACTACAGTAAATATATATATATTACAAAAAGTTATTACCTCATAGGAGGTAAAAATAAAAATGGCCAACTAAAAATCTGCTTAAAAAAGCACTTAAAGTGCCAACCGAAAGGGAAAATAATAAAAAAGAAGTAACATTGGAAGCACTGAGTTACATAGCAGCATCGTCAGGGGGGTATTGCCATGCAGCAAGTGTGGAAGCAGTTTCAACAATTGGTGACAAACTAAACCAAAGACCAAACTAAACCAAACAGCAAGTCAGACAAAGACCATGTACTGTAACCCCATAAGTCAAAGTGGAATTTACCAGATGGAAAATAAAATTTAGAAAGTTGAAGTTTCGTATACCAAACAAGTAGGTGGTTCAATAAGGAAATCATTTAACCTTAATATAACAAAAGGAAATACACAAGATTATTTTTCAAGGAAATTACATCTTAGAATGTTATTTCTTAATGTTAATATATAGTAGGAGCTGCCATTAGGTTACATCTTGTTTTTGAAAGTGTAAATGAGTACATAAATTGAGGTTACTAATGATGTAAAACAATTTACTAAAAAAATGGTCACAATTTCCAAGAAGAGCCAGAACATACCAATTAATGTTGAGTGAATACTTCACTCAGATGTATAGCAGATAATAAAATTGTTGACCTACCACAGGGTGGCTGAGGACTCACAGACGGTGGCCCATGGTCAAGTCCTGTAGGTTCGGGTGTGTAGCTTACAGATACGGGCAGTGGTGAAGGAGACAGTTCTGTAGAAGATCCTTGAGGACACTAAATGGTCAAGTAAAACTAAATTATACAATCTGTAACAATATCCTTCTCACCACAAAATCATAACTAATACAGAAATCACCTTAATATAAACACTACAAGTGAGATAAACAACTTTTTTAAACTAAAACTGTTGGCGATTATGAATTTCGCTAGTAGCAGCAACTCCGTCCCCCCGCACACTTTACACTCAACCTTTCGTTTAAGCTCTCGTGCTTATTGTTTTTCGTAATTTAACTTTGATTTGATAACTATTGTTTTATAATTAATTGTAACCATATTTTGATAATTATTGTTTATGGTTAATTGTAACGATATTTTGGAGCATCGTGATTCATTCGGAATCATTTAATAGATTAACTGTTTTCGTTATTATTATTTTTGTTTACAATAAAAACAGTTGTCACTGTTTATGAGCTATTTTCTTTAGTTATTAGTTGTCATCCATGGAAACTTTATTATTAAGGTACGTTGGACCCTCCAAAAACATTGCATTTCTTTTTCCTTTTTGTAAAATAGAATTTTAAAAATCAAGTTCAAATGAAAAGGCTTAAGAGAATATAGAAAGACACCTCACTATTCCCAAAAGTGACGTTCTAAAATCAAATAGTGTTATTTCCAGATAGATACTCTGTAAGGGTTTGGAATTTCCTCTAGTTAACACAAAAGCATCTTATTGTCTGCGTTATGTAGAAAATACTTTTTTTCCATGAAAAACATTTGTGAAAAAAATATTTCTCCTGCACATTTATATCCTTATAATGAAATTTAAAAAACAAGAAATATTTATTATTTCGCTTTAGTTTAAGCATTGATTAGGAAGCAATAAAAAATAAATTTCATAATTGGATCACTAATTTCCAATTAACATTAATACTCATTCCTATCTTAAACATAAGGGAACAAATTATATATAACAATGCATACTGGATATCGAAAAGATTGAATAAAACTCACCCGACTATTTCCGTTCATTTGTGAATTCCTCTGCATCATAATTTCGAACTCCTCATTAATTTTTTGAAATTTTGAATCAGATCTTGTAGGCATAGAATATTGATCCATGTCAGGCTCTGGGCTATCACAGGAGTTGGAAGAGCCTTTGTGCTCTTTCTTGTTTAAAGCCTGAAATTCCAATTTCTACTTTACAGTGATTTATTGATCTAATTACGTAATGCTACAACAAATTTATTGAATTTAATATATTGGAATGCGCTAATTTTTATAAAAATTCCAAGTTTTCAACGCAGAGTTATGTAAATTTAACAAAAGCAAATAAAGATGATAAAAAATACAACAACGCAAATTTCGGAAAGTAGAATCTGTAAGTGCTAGTAATGTATAAGTGCTAATTGAAATATTGGTATACAAAAAAACTCAACTATTTCCTATTTTGAAAAAATAAGGAAATCGAAGAATTTAGAATAATTCCTATCTAGCAGACATTGGTCAGTTTATATTCGATAGAAAGCTTTACTTTGTAGAAATGGAAGAGTAAATTTAAGTTAAAATACTTTGTCCCAAATTATTTAAGAGGAAAAGAGATAATAGTTTATTGACTGCCAAGCACCAACTTTGGAGATGACTGTGTTATTTATTGTTATATATGCATTTGAATACTATGTTGAAAAGAAATAATGCGGCTTTAAAAAACGGACACATATGCTACCCATAGTATTCCTATAGTCTAGTAAAAATATGACAGTTAAATGCAGTATTTCAACCCTAAAATGCATTCTAAAAGTTCCCCAAAGCTAAAATTATAAAAAGTAAATGTACATTTAAAATTATAAGCTGAAATTATGAAATAGGAATGAACGGTAGAATGCAAGATTAACAATCAAAGTTCTTTAAAGTATCAAAATAAAACTCTAAATTTATATACCAAACAAATTTGCCTGTTTATAATAACAAAGGATTTTCACAAATTAATAAAATTGAGGGTCATTTACAATTTAAAAAAAAAAATTCAAAGTAAATTCAGAAGTTTTGAAAAGTTTACATAAGTTAAAATCCCTGTAATAACTAGGAATATGCATGCGGCAACACAAGTGAAAAAATTTCTTAAGTTGCTAATAGAGAAACTATAACCGTTTTAATGATAACATTTCCAATATATAAGACAGAAAATGCAATAAATAGATAAATGAATTGAACATACCTCTACTATGTCATTATTAGTCCTACTTTCATGAGGCTCATTATATTCTGTGTACTTCAAAAGTACTTTGTCCATGTCAGTACTTGCATACTGAAACAGTTTATTGGTACTGTTAAAAATTATAAGCGCGATTTCACAATCACACAAAACACTAAGTTCATATGCTTTTTTCATTAGTCCGAATTTTCGCTTTGTAAAAGTGACCTAGAAAATAAATTAACACACATTACTTTAAAAAACAAGATCAAGACAGATATGTTAACTGCAATAAATAATAAGTTATAAGCATTGTACTAGAAAAACATTCAATTGAATAATGCACATAATAAAATTGTTATGCAATAAGCGTTTTAATTATCATAAAAAATCAAAAATTTTTATTTTACAAATTGAACAATGTGATTTTTTAAAGTAAATATAACTTCTTTTCTTTATTTTTAGTAAACATTTCAATTATTCTTACAGTACAAAACTCTTGACTATTTCAAATTATCTGTTTATTGTAATTTGTATGTGTATGTATATTTGTACTTACATTATTCATTATTTTTACAAGATATAAAAAGGTTTTACAAGAGCAACATTTATACATACAGATTCTGACATTTTAAATTTACTATTTTTCATTAAACATTAATTATTTAAAATTAGATAAATGTAATTTTAACAAAGCTTTGACAATTCAAACAAGCCCAGTAATTAAAAATTTAATAAATTTTAACACATTACACTCATTAATATATAATTTCAAACAAATGATCATATGAGGTGTAGAGAACGGTATAAGCTTTTTTTTAAATATTTTTTCCTTCATTTTAAAACTTTGTTCTACACAAATGGTTCATATAAAACAGTTGTAACCCACTATAAGGAATAAGGATATAAAATATTATATCCTATCTATAAGGATATAAAATATTATATCCTAATCTAACTGGTTAGAAAACAATGGATTGAACTAATAGGTTTGGTATAAACAGTCAGTATTATAGAAAGACTGCTCTGTCACAAATAGACCCTCGAAGCTTATTATATTTGTTTAAAAAAAAAACAGGCATTATTTTAAATATTATTGTAATTAATAAACTACGTTCATGAGTGCGTTATCAAAAAACATATTAAGAATACTGACTTATGATATTTATTAACTGATATTTTAGCACCATTCAACCCACAAAATAGAACTTTAAAAAATAGCAAAGTCTTAGCATGAAGTCTTAAATTTTAATACCATCTGCCACAGATTACATTAGATTTTGCAGATTTAATCACCAACAGAGCCGCTACTAGAAAATAAAATAAAAATTTCGAAACTTAATATAAAGAAATCTGATCTTAATCCAAGTCTTTTTCTCTCTCCTCAACTTATCCTGTTTTTACAAGATTTAATATTTAAAAAACAGTCAAAAATTTGGAGCACATTAAGCATAATCCATAAATCTAAGATATCCAATCACATGTTTTAATCTTTTTCTTTTCGAACTTCAAGTTTTAAATATAGATTGAAATTAAGGTCACAACAATAAACAATTTTGGAAATAACAAATGTATTAGTAAGATTTGATGGCGTGTAATATTAGTATGTATTATTAACATTTAACTAACACATTGAAAATATTTAAATTCATGTTTTAAAAAAAAGTAAAATTATCTATCATAATAAAAAAATTACTATTCATGTGCGACAATAAGCTCTAAAATGTTAATATCTAATGAATTACAACAAATTAATGGCATGTATGTTACAAAAAACGAATAAGATTTTATTAACTATAAAAGTTCATTAAATAAATAAAAATAAAATTTGTCATCATAAAAAATTGATACTGTATTTTTAGCTTACTAATTTGAAATAAATAAATTAAAACAATATTATATAAAATTAAAATTTATATACACTCCATAATTTATAAGCATTTAACAGTTCATGTGAGTTAACAATTAAGAAAATTAAAAATATTAACTTACAAATATATCTTTATTAATAACTACATTTAAAATAAAATAATGTCATGTTTCAAAAAAATCTTTCGGGGGCATTATTAAAATCTTCGTGGGGTACAGACCACAAAGAAAATAATTAACAGATCAATATAACATAAAAAGCAAATAATAGTCAACATATTTCAAGTGCTTCAAAATAAGATGCTCATTTTCAAGACTTGCCCAACAAGAGAAGAAAAAGTGATTTGAAATGTAAAACAAAAAGTTGGCAAAGGAAAATAGAAAAATAAAGATGAGAAACAAAACTAGAAAAATCATCATAGCTGAGAGAGAGAGAAAGAAAAAAAAACACAGTGGCCGAGAGTGTCAGGGTAAAATGCATTTCACATGCTATGGAGAAGTGATGAGGAACTAATGCCATTAACAAGGGATTCAGCATNATCCCTGGTCCATATTTCAACCCAACAACGCTGTGTCGACAACAACAGTCTTAACACACTATTCACAACAACTTCCCTCTCAACAATGCAACCAAGTCACGGTTATGGAGGATCAAAATTTACTGCACAGATCTTCCCCAGAAATTCGAGCTTTGTATTACAGAAGGCCTATAGAAATGGTCTACCATTAAAATTATTACATACTGTTAGAATCTTACCCTTAGAAACATTTAATGTGAAATAAAAATTTCTATTAAAACAACTTGGAGGAAAATAGTTTATGGTTTATGATATTTTATATCTTACATCAATGAAAAGTTTAATAGCTTTCTATGTACTCATATATAATCTGTCACAAAATTCAAAACTTTTTATGTACAGAAAGCAAAATAAAAAAACTGAATACCCTAATGACTTTTGATCTAATTATCAGATTTTTACGTACTCAACTCATTCTTAATGGTTCGAAGGCTTAACCTCAACTATGTTAATTAATTAGTACAGAGGATATTAGTTGATTAAAAACTTCATTCACTTATAATAAAAGGTAGTTAAGAATACGAGAAATTATCAATTGCTGCACATTGTTGAAATTTAGGGTAAAATTCAATTTCAACAATGCCAAAATAATTCCCATCCTAGTCACGTCAGCTTACCTTGATGCCTTGGAATCTTGTTTTATTCATATGAATGCAGGTTCTTTGGTTAATGACGTTAGTTTTTCAAGGATTTTTATGGTAGTTAAAATAGAAAAACTTTAATATTTTCCAGTTGTGATTGAAATGTTAATATGCTTAAAATGTTATGTATTATGTTTACTCATAATTTTGAATAGTAAAAGGCATCAAAGATAGTTAAAAGAGTTTTTTTTAATTAATTTAAAATGATGCTCTTAATAAAAATAAACAGAACATTTTAGAACAAAACAAGTTTTAAATTGATTTCTATAAATGAGGCATACTTCATTATGTATTAGTAATACTTATTTAAATAATTAAACAAGCAATAATCTATTTCAATAGAGATTTTTTTAAGAAATTTACTAAATTTTATGGAATTTTCTAAACTGTACAAAAACCATCAGAATTTTTATTAAACCAGTAGACCTGGAAAGACCTGGACCTGGAAAAACTGCAAAAATTCAGCAGAGTTGGCAGCTATGTTATCATCAACAATATATCATACTTGTACATTAACAATTTTGAATGACTATGATATAAAAAAAGATAGAAAATTTTAAAAAATTTATCACTAATGCATATTGAAGATAGGAAACTAACCTGTCGATTTCTCTCATCAGTAATGCGTGATATTTGGATCTTCTTGCGCCCCATGGCAATATGTTTTACAGCAGGACCTTCCAGTTCAGAAGCGGAGAACAAAATCAAACAAAGAATAATTTAGAAGCCTTAAATGTCTGGGGCAACCTCACAGAAACATAAGACCTAAAATTGAGATAAATGCCTTCATTATTTTACAGAAATTCAATTCAAATACTCATTTTAAATTACACATCAACAATACTATTTAAAAAATTCATAATTTTGACAATTGCAAGAACCTGAAAAGAAAAAAATGGTCTATTAACTAAATTAATTTGATTACTAATAGCATTATAAAGATTTTTCCCGCTATACGGAAACAAAATATAATAATATAATATAAAAATTATTATAGAATTTTTGAACAGATCTTTAAACTTGAACATATACACCAAAAGTCAATTTTTGATAAATTAAATTTTAGAAAAGAAAAAATTGTCCATTAACTAAATTAATTTGATTATACTAAAATGATTACTAAAAGCATTATAAAGATTTTTACCGCTATACGAAAACAAAACATTATACATAATATAAAAATTATTATAGAATTGTTGAACAGATCTTTAAACTTGAACATATACACCAGAAGTCAATTTTTGATAATTTAAAATTGTTTAAAGACCCTAAAAAGTAAAATTCATAATCTTTATTTTACTAATGAATTGCATTGCAAATTTTTAAATAATTAATTTAAATTATAAATAATATAAATTTTAAACAAATGCCTTAATTTATAAATTATTAATTTAGTGTAATTATTTGAACACATTAGCAAAAAAAATTTTCAATAAATAGTTATGTAGTTTAAAAAAAAAAACACATTCTTTGAAACAAGCTATAATTTTTCTTTCAAACTTTTGTGGAAAGCACGGAAGTAAAAATTGCAATTTATTATTATAATTATTTATTTTTTGAGGAAAGGATGAAAGAAATTCAATTTTCTGGGTATATAGCAAAAACATTTTCAATTCCTCTGAGTTTGATAAATTAATTATTGATCCCTTGAGTTTTCTGTTTCCCGTGTTGCATATTTTTTATATTTTATTGAAAAAATTTTCTGTAATAATCTTTAATCAATTATTAAAAATAATTAAATTTCCTTTATTCAGAAAAGATATTTGTGCAATTTTTAACAAAATATTATGTAAATAATAACTAAAATGTCTTAAATGCAAATTTTATTTATCATTTAAAAGAAGAAGAAAAAACTTACAATTTTCTTAAGACCCAATATGTAAGGCATAATTCTGAAATTTATTTATTTACAGTTAATTAAGAATAATGCATAAAAATATCGAAATCTGACAACCATTCAGTAAGTACTTCATTTAAAATATATTTTAAAGAAATTTGAAGTCAATTTCAATTTAGAATTACAAAATAATTTATACCAATTTATTTTGAGATTAAAGCTAAAAATATTTTCATATCTAAATTTTTATAAAGCAATATTATAAAAAAATTAATGTTAATGTTCAACAGATTGGGAGAAATATCTGTTTAAATTAAAATAAAATTTGGATGATAAAATATTTTAGGAGATAAACATAAAGAAAGCAATCAAACTAAATTATAGCTTTTAATTTTTACAGTTTCAACAAATATATACTTTTATTTAAATACTTTAAAACAACTTTCACATAAAACAAGCTATTTATATTACAGAAAAAGTCAATTAATAAATTTCAATATTTAAAAAAAAAACTGGCTTTGAGCTTATCTCTTTTCTTATCATGAGTTAGTGACTCAGGGAAAACAACTATCAAATCAGCACTTATCATATATATTTTATCACAGACAGTAGCTGCAAACGCTACAATTTAAAGAAAAATTCACAAGCAGGTAGCTACTTAAAATTAAATAAAAAATTCCCAAACGAATAAGTATTTATAAGTAAATAAGTATAAAATGCAAGAAATATTTCGCACAGCATTATTATTGTATTCCACATTTTTTTTTTAGCACCAAATTAATAAAACTTAATTTATTAATAGAAGTATGTCATAAAAAATTATTATAATATAATAATATATATATATATATATATTGCTTTGCTTCATTAGGATAGGAAAATGGATATTTCCTAGCAAAGCAAAGTGTACCCCGTCTTTAGATATAAGATTCAATTAAGTTAAGTAACTTTTCTTATAAGATGTACCTGATACATTGAGAACATTTTTGGTAAGCTTACCAGCACATTTAAAATGTTGCTTTATTTAATTTGTTAACAGATTGCATAGTGAATTAGTTAATTATAATTTAAAACTATCCTTACATAAAGTTATAAACCTCACTATATTTTTCAAGGAAAAAAAATATAAGAAACTAATAAAAAAAAACTAAATATTTTGAAATTTGTGCAACTTAAATTTTTTTTTAAATGATTAGTAAATTTTTAAAAAGTTGTGCACATCATAAACAAAAGCACTGTGCATCATAAACTGTGCACAAAAGTTGTGCACAGTTGTGCACACTACACATGTAAATTCCATCTCTAATATAAGTCGCTAAAATTTAATTCGGATTTTTTTTTTTAAATTAACGTCGTAAAAAAAGTATTGAAAATAAAAAAAATTTTAGTTTTATAAATTAAATCCACAGACAATTTTTTTTATACTTATTTCCTTATTTAATAATTCCTTTTAAGAAAGCAACACGTAGAGCTTACTTTTAATTCCTTTCTCCAAAATCATATTTTTTTTAAAAAAAATTTACGCTTTAAATAAATAAATAAAAATTTTGGTCTAAAAAATTTTAATTCTGTAAACTATTTTTGTTTCAAACGAGAACATACTTCCATCTTCTAACTTTTCTTATCTAAAATCTCATTTAGTGAAACAACACATGATTTTCTAATAGCTAAACTTATAATCCCTTCTTTTAATCAGAATTTAAAAAATAACTATTTTAATAATAAAAAATTATCGTTTTCTAAATTATAAGTCGCTAACACTTTTTTTTCAGACGAGAACACGAATCTAACTTCTAACTCTTCTTATCCAATATCTCATTTTGAGAAAACAACACGTAATGTTCATTTCCCAACGTAGCTGAGTACAGGGAGAAGAGAATGATCCATAAGACACAACTATTAACCACACGTACGACATGTGGCGAAAGATAAACCCAACAGGGGGCGTTGATATTAACATTCCAATCAGCTGGGGAAAAGGTAAGTTAAAGAAAGAACAGAAAGAGTATAAAAATGGGGGCATGTGAAAATTCATAGCCCCAAAATAGAAACGTACCTCACATCCCTTCGGCGGCAGAAGATCTGCTGTTCCTCCATCGGGCATGTGCTTTACAGGGTTACAACACCTATCTTGGCGAGATTAGCAAAAGCGCCATACCTTAACTCAAACTTGGCAAGGCAGTGAAAGTGTTTTTACAGAATTTCTTAATGTCGATTATTTCGTCAAAGAGAGAATTTGCCTAAAAATTTCCTTTTATAAACCTTAATCCATTTACTACAACTTATTATAATGAGTTTGTAGCTTTCTATATTCAAATTAAAAAAGCAAAAAACAAAATTTTGAAGGGGAAAAAATTTGAAACTAGAGAGTTTAAGAACAAGGCTTAAGATTTATAAAACTTCTTTTCTATTGATTTTAAATTTGATTTTGTCAATAAAATATAAAAACTAAAATTAAACTTAATGATTGTTATAAATTTAAACTTTATGCACATAATTTTTATTTCAATTTTATTCTTCGAAACTTAAAAGTTGTTTTAATACTTTAATCACATTAAATATTCGAAAGAATAATTATACTCATAACAATAAATAAAATAAGTCAGATATTATAACACTGCCTAAAAATATCGTCACAATATCAAATTTAGTAAGAAATAAGTTTTAGACTCGGCTTTTGCATTGTCTACTCGGGGGTATATAGAACTGATTTATAATTTTGTTTATAATTTCATTTTTCTTTATATTATTTACTTACTTAATTAATTATTTATTTATTAATTTGTTAAATTATTTATTTATTTAATTGTTTAATAATTTATTTATTTAAATAATTTATTTACTTAAATAATTCATTCTTTTAATTATTTGTTTATTAAGTTCGTCTATATAATTCATTTACTTTTTCTTATTTATTGTTTATTAATAAAAAGAAACAAAAAAAAATTCTGTTAGAAAAACAACATTTGAAATTAGCTTTGTCATTAAATATTAATTTGTAAAAGTGAACAAAATTCTTCGAGAGCTATGATTTTTAAATCTTAACGAAATCTTATTGAAATGAAATTATGAATAAATTAACGAAATTTCTAAAATTGAAGCAATTTTTAATAAACCTAAGTTTAACTTTATAAGAAATTCCTTTTCCATGTAAAGAAAAGGAATGCTTAATAAAGTTTAAAATGTAATGTTTTTTTTTTAACCTTATTCAGAATGTAGTCAAATATTGAGTCAAAGATTATAAACCTTAGAATACATAAGCCTCAGGTTATCAAATTTTTAAATTCTTTTTCACTGTTTGTTCCTGCTGTAAATTCCTTTTTAATTTTATCTTTTATTTAACTATACAAGAACAAATATACCAATTCGCACAAATAAGATTATTATGGTGGCGATTATGCTAATTATACTATATTAATTTAATGCCAATTGCTATGAAATTTTAAATGCACGTTAAATTATAATTAAATTCTAGTTAAATAGTTGTAGAAAGGCCATAACTATTGATAAAGCATGATTAAATATCTATAACATATTTCCTAATTTCAACAATATTTATATGAAAAAGACAGCTATAATATTCTTTAGTACTATTATCTATCCATCAAATTATTTAAATTTTATTAGATTAATTTAAAATTTGTGTGTAATACATAAAAGAAGAGTAACTATTCATATATAATCACCTTAGATATTATCTACCTCAGATACCGAAATTAAGTAGATAAAAATGTTAACGGGAAGAAAAAAAAATATTTTAAAGGATATATTTTCTTTTTCTTCAAAAAATCATTTCTGATTTAAACAGGGTGTTTAAATAAAATGTTTATAATAACACTTTATTTAAATCACTTTTTAAAACGTAATTAAAAACAGGTTAATTCAACCTTCGACTATAAACTTTTCCTAATTTGCACCAAAAAACCAA